GTATGGAGTAGTACCGAACAGAGCAGTACAGGTAAATCTTTACAATCCTTTACCTTCCGTACAGGTGGAGGCCTACAAGTTTGACCTAAAACATCATTCAAAGGGACTGATTTTGTTTTTTTATGAACGGAGGCCAGCTTCTCTCAGGGGAAAGAGATAGAGGAATGGGGCCAAATAGGGGAAGTAGAGGTAAAACTTTATTAAGTCTTCTATAGGAATAAAGGGATTTTTCCAAATTTGCTCTGGAACAACCTTAGGCTATGAAGAATGTGAGTGCACGATAAATACATAAATTTGATATTTTGTATCATTTCACACAACTTCCACAAAGGATTATGATTCAAATTCTTCAGATTAATTTAAATAGACAATCAATTGTAACCCACTCCAACTCCCAACAGATTCCATCACAAACGTATTCATTAAGGGCCGGTTTCCAAAACGGCCCCTTCTCTGATTCAAATTTCCTGTTGGTGGTGCATTGCCCATGCCGTTGTGGTCCCTAATCTATGAAGTATAAAGATTTAGGTCACTTGGTTTGTTTTTTATGGCTCCTCAAAGTTGTACCTTTCAGAAGCTGAAGTGTTGATAAAATGTGCATGTTATGTAAAATATTAATGAAAATCTAATCAAATGATGGTCACCGTAAAGAATACATTCATGGCATGATTGTGACAAAAAATCATGTTTCCATCGCGCCATTTGGCTGTTTTATGGAAGAAACAATCTCAAAAATGCCATTTTCGATGATAACATTTTAGACACAAAAACTGTGTTTTTTAGAGAATACACCCTTTTATGGGCGTTGGATGCAAACCAATTTTTATCCTATTAAACAGTACGTAATATGCTATTGATGAGAGGAAAAATCATCAAAATGTAAGTGGTGGAACATTTTCAAATGTTGGGTTGAATTAGCCTATGGTTGAATTGCCGATTTTCGACTTTCTTTAGATAATTAACAAAAAAACGAGAGTATTTGCTCGGTATGTTGAGAATATGTACACAGATATGAAAAAAAGTGAGAGAAACACTTTTTCATAAAAAAAATCCAAGATGGCTACTTCACAAGTCCCCGTGGTTGAAGACATTGGCTGACAAATAGACAGAACAACAAACAAAACGTGTTCCTTATGATTTTGGTTGGTTTTCGCATTTACGGGAGTGTTCATAGCTACGGGCGATTGTATAATACCTATATTTATAAGTTTGGTTAGTCACATGGTAACGGGGATCTTTCATATCGAGCCCCAAACATACTTTCGACATATGCACTCCGTTGCCGCATGGAAAACTATTTCAAGTTTTGTCGGAATTTCTTTACCTGTGGTTGTAATGGTCGAGGGTTTTCCAGCGTCCTGTAATACCCAAGGTAGTACAAGATACTGGAGATGTGCGCACACATTCCCATCGTTCTCTCTCCAACTGGGCACTGGCAGTAGTAGTCCTTTATTGGGGCCTCAACATCGGGTGAAACGGTGAACCGTATCCAAACGTTATATTTCGTTTGGCTTTTGTGTCGAGAATGTATTTGACATCGGAGAAGGTCTGGGGAGTGCTGGTAAAGCCACACCTCATAGTCTCCGTCATCACTTAAATGTTCGGCGATGTAACCAGGAGCCAGAGATATCTGATACGTTCCACACGTAATGGTTCTCAAGTAATCAAGATCGAGACGGGGAAACAGTACGGAAGATGCATCCATCTTGACAAACTCGGACCTTGCCCGTCTAGATAGATCCGGATCTGTCTTGACTCTCTGAGCTAAACCATTCGGTGTTGTCAAACGGTCCTTCATACGTTCAGCCATTAGCCTATCTTTGGCATCTCTCTCTGGAGATCTCTGGTAGATCGGTCCTCTAATACCATTCAGACAGGCTGTGACGGTTCGAAGCAAAGCCTCGATGACATTGATAAAGCTGTTAGACACCAATTGCGTTCGGAAGAACGTCCAGTGTTTCAGACGACCATGATAGGATTCCACAATCCACCTCGATTTGGTGATAGTTCTGTCAAGATTTGCTTGGACGTCAGAATGTTGACTTTGACCGGGTTTCAGGTATGACGGCATGCTAGCATTGAGGCCAGAGGCTTCGAGAACTGGTAGGACATCTCTAAAACCTCGGTCAACGACAACGTTGTCGTCTGGTTGTAGCCAAGTAACTAGCTTGTCCATGACTTTTTTTGTAATTGTAGCATCATTTTCGCTGCCAGTGAATGGTCCTACTGTGTCCAGAATGTAGCCATCTGGTAAGGCGATGCTCATGAATTTGAGATAGTTTCTCTTCTTCTGGCCACAGTAGGACATTCTCTGGAGCTTGTGGTCGGAGCTTTTCTGGATATAAATATAGGTGCCATCTAATATGGCAGTGGCTTTATCTCCAAAAAATGCTTCTGAAAAGACAGTATTGTGCCCGAGCAACTGTTCTCTTGTCAAGTGATCCGGACCTAGAAATTGTGGGACTATCGATGTGTCTAATGCCTGTACTATGGAGTGGAAAGTTTTGGACACACTTGACTTGGAAATTCCAAAAAGAGAAGAACACTGACTCCAGGAAATGTCGGTTTTCAGTTTTACCCAGAACAGTAATAGAGCATCGTGTGTAGTCTTGGTATATATACCAGATGAAAGATATGGGGAACAGTGCGAGTGGATTTCGAGGAACTGATCTTTGGACCAACCTGTCCAGGCCATGCATGCCGAGTCATCAAGAGAAGAAAAGCTTATTGTAAACGCAGACTGGTTCTGTGAAAGGACGTGCGACACCTCTAGGAGGTCATTAATGATTTCGGACGATTTTGATGGTAACTGAGATTCCAAGGAACCTCTACCATCAAGGACAACCTCTGTAGACGGATCTAAGTCGTTACCAATAAGGTGAATGGAGCAGACGCGGGATGAGGTGGGACACCACAGTTTGTGTGAATAGATCAGGTGATGTCTTGCACGTTTTGGTAAGACTGATGATTTTGTTCCATTTCTTGCAAAGGTAACAAGACAGAGACAGCATTTTTTGTGTGAAGATGATCCATTCAAAAGATCATGAAGGGTCAGCAACGGCAGGATATGGGACGGGGAGTCGTCTTCTTCCTCTATTTCCTGGTTCTGCTCGGGTTCAGGTTCAGGCTGATTTTTGTTCCGAAGATACTTCATGTAGCACTTCTGGCAAATAAGTGCTTGTTCCTTTGCTGACATCAATCCTTGTTGCACCAGCGTATCTAGGAGCCATTTATATTGTGGACTATTTACATTGCGTGCACTTCTGTTCTTATTGCCACTACGTTTCTTGAAGTATACTTGACACCCTTCTCCAACACATTTACCCTCCATCTTGAAACAATAACGATTGGTTTATGAAGCGTCGATAAAGTAACAAAATAGCAAGCCACCGATGATTGCTGTAAACAGCTAATACTTAGTAGTTTGGTACAATTATGCGAAAATGTGTGATAAATAACGAACAACTAATTACACAAAATAACAAGACAATATAATAAATCACATTCAATACCTCCAAGAAGCGCAGAATTGATTGATTACTTAGAACAAAATAAAGTATTTCATATGGATAATCTATCTATTCGATGTGGCGTGGTCGGCAGGCACAAAGAAAGTGAGACAAGTCAGGGTCCCAACCCTGACAGAGCCACAACGCTTTGGAGATGGGACAATAAAACAAGGAAAGTGAGACAAGAATAGCTAGCGTCGAGTCAATGATTCCGTAAACGTATAGACAAAGACAAGAAGATACGGATAAATGTACAAGGCCACACGATCAGAAAATTCAGAAGAGGACAACTTGAGATAGAACAGTATTCATGTATCAGGGTGTCCTCAGTGTAAATCTTTATATCGATACTGTTTATTTAGTCGTTACACATCATAAAACTGTCATGAAAATATCCGCTCTGATATTCAATATAAAAGTTTGTATATAATAAGCTATATAATAGGGTTTCAGACAAGGTTGTTACTCATTTCCCCTTTTCTTTCAATTTACAACCACATTCAGGCGGCGATATGAGAACGTTCCACCACATGGAATTAGCTGATTTTTGGTACACATATGAAACAAGTAAAGCTCTATCCGATTTTCTGATGGAAATTTGCATCCAAAACTATATAACGGGAGAAAATTGCAATTTTATGGCATTTTTCTTCATAATTGTGTCTCTGCAAGTGCATTTTCATCCGAGAATTTTTTTTTTTATGTTTTATGAATAAACACGATGTTTTGGAAATATTTATCAAAAGAAATTTATACTATGTTGCGAATTACAATTTCGAGATAACCTTCTTTTATTTACGAACTTATGTCTTTGATGCTGAAATTGACAACTTTATAAAAATACATTTTCACTGAAATTATGAAATCTGGGTGTCGGAAAGGTGTAAAATTATTCTTCGGAAAAGAAAAAAACAGTAGTTGAGCTAGATAAGAAATTATACGGGGGCAGGCTCCTATGGAGAATTAACATTACTGGAAACAGGCCCTTTAAACAAAAAACACACTTTAATTTTATTAGATTAGGTTAATAACAGATCAAGAGGTAATCCTGACAACTTTAATAATGTATTCAAACTTAATTCAACGGATGTTAGAGATTCTACCACGTAACACTTTAACTGACATTTTTTTTAAAACCATGTAATATTTTCCATGCATATGTAACACGTTTTCTAAAGCCTTAACAATGAAAATGAGGCAACATGTGTCAATTGTTTGCATGTGCTGAAATACAGCATAGTTTTAACTAGATGATCTAGGTCACACTGCCTTGTAGGCACAGAAGTAGACACGAAAGTAGACACGAAAGTATATTGTCGTGGTGGAATAGATATAATCAACATATGTTTGTATATTATGGTGGAATATATATATATTCAGCACAGATTTAAAAATTCAAACATTTTCTCAAAGTGGTTACATATATTCCGCCATGTGTTGATTATTTCTTAAACAGCACAAAACATATAATGAAACCTGAAACGTTTAAAAAGAAATCTCCATTATTTTATTGTATTCTAAATTAAAAATTTGAATTAATTAAATATCATTTATCAGTATTTTCCAATACACTTAGTTGTTAGCACTGTAAGATATGTGTCTACATTGAAAATGTTACACAGTGCAATGATACACTGACATGCAGACCCCAGGGGGTATTCAACAGACGTAAAGTGATCAACATCCAATCAAAAACACGTTTTCCGTCTTTAATATGTACAATTATGGCGTCAATATTCAAAATAATGTCTATAAACCAGTTAATGCTACACCTCCATCTCAAGCATTTTCTTCATCTTTTTATATTCTGATATAATTTCCTGGTAATGAAATTTCTCGGGCATATGGTTGAACAAGCGAACCAGGTTGAATCGTTCCATACCAGGCTGACAATAGTACATTGTCATCTGTTTTACTAAAATAAGGGCTTCACTTTTTGTCTGAAATGAAGCAAATAAAACATTTGTTATTCCTTGCATAGAAATAATGAAAACATTTTAAATGATTAATTTTAAAGTTTTTGTGATCTTCAGTTCTGAGTGCAATTTTAAATAATACAAATGAAACATTCTTTAGAATAGAACATGGTAGTTAAAATGCTCATAATATGTTAAATTTGTAATACAACATATAATATATCTGATTTAGATTCAGATCAGTATTAAGTGCAAGTAGATACAACAAATGTACTGTAAAATTGTATTATATTAAGAAGTTCTTTTTACACAACCAATAATATTTTCTATGTAAAGTTTTGATGACTAGTGCGATATATACACTGTCACCTTCATCAGACAAATGACCAAAGAAGCGTATGTACACAAAGGTGTAAAATGTGTATGAGTTGTCCATAAAAACGATGTCCATTTCGGCTACGCTGGAAACGTATGTACAATAGTTGTTATATACTAGCGGAAAAAAGAAACTGTGCATGCCTAAAATGTGTTAAATGTATAAAAATAAATGTGTATGACGTAGAACAACAAGGTTTTCAGGGACAATTTATTTGTTATTTATTAACAGTTGCATTCCATTTTTCACGTTATGGAACCAATAAATTCCGCTCAGGAGTGACGTAAACACAGCAGGGATCAATACTGTGTTCACAAAGTTAATACTGCGTATGTCCACCATTTGCCTGAATGCAAGCCTGGCAACGTCGACGCATGGAGCCTATCAGACGGTTCAAGAATGCTTGTGGGATGACATTCCAGATCTGTACCAACGCTGCAGGCAAATAAGCCAACATTACCGGTTGATTAGGTAATGCCTGTTATCTGCGCTTCATTTCATCCCAGACGTGTTCAATGGGCGACAGATCGGGGGATACAGCAGGCCAGGGCAACACGTCAATATTCTGCTGGGCCAGAAAGTCCATAGCGACACGAGCTGTGTGTGGACTGGCGTTGTCCTGCTGTAGCTTAATATGACGTTGCTGCCCTAGCATGAATGGAACAACGTAGGTACGGAGGATCTCATCACGGTAACGTAGCGTTCAAATTCCTGTTAACAACCACCAGAGGCGTTCTCCCGTCGGCTGTGATGCCGCCCCAAATCATAACGCTGTCTCCGCCGAAAGAACGTCGTTGTACCACACACGTGTCACGAAAAAACGTTCTCCAAGGCGACGATACACTCTGGAACATCCGTCACAACTATGCAAGTGGACTCATGACTCGTCCGTAAACAAAATGCCTGCCCAATCCTGTCAAGTAAATCGTAGATGCCTTCTGCACAAGTCCAGACGTGCTACTAGATGACGTGGCAGAAGAACTGGGCGGATTGCAGGACGTCGTGGACGGAGAGCTCGTTCACGCAATCGGTTCCGTACAGTTCTCGGGCTTATTGGTAGCAACCCAAGGATTGTCCGTGCAGTCAAACTTGCCGTTTGGAAGCGATTTCTCAAATGGACAAGCCGAATTTGGTTGTCCTGTTGACGCGACGTCACAGGTGGACGTCACGCACGAGGTCAATTGTGACGTGGCCAAACTGTTGATGTCGTCTCCACAAATCCTGGATTGTGTTTCGATGGACATAAAAACGTGTAGAGACAACGGCTTGGCCCTTACCAGTACCATTAATCCGGAGCCTCGGCATAGCATTAATCACAAATTAAAACGTTATAATGATGTTTTTACTGTTCAGTGGTCTCAACAGAGTGACCCAACAGTTGAAAAACAAACTTTCATTTTCGAATTGGATGGCTGGACGAGAAACTTGTCAGAAACTTTTGAGTTTCGAGTTTGAGTGAAACGTCAAATAGAAAATTTTATTGGTAGTGTAAAAAGAACTTCTTATAATATAATCCATACTTACCAACCTGAAGAAAATGTTTAGAAAAAAGAGTATTCTGATAAATGATCAGTATATTAATAGTATCACAAATTAATTTTCTTACCGGTAACAGAAAATTTGGCTATGTTGAATATGTTTTTTTTTCCCCAGATTAACACCAACTGAAAACTTTATTGTGATATATATTAAAGTACTTTTTCAAATTATCAAAACAATTGATTCAAACTGAATCAAATTAATTTTCACTAAAAAATCTTCTTTAATACAATAGTGATGATATTCTGAAATGTTGAAAGGTTAAATATCGAATTATTTGACCGGTGCACCACTATATGTTTTTGCAGTGATTGAAAATCAACCTACCAGAATATCACTGTTATACTGGCCTGCCATCAGAACTATACCTGAAAGGAAATCATAATTATTAATTTGCATCTCGAATGAATTAAGACATATCAGTGGGTTTTCCAAATTAATATCTGTCAATTTGAAAGACAAAAAGAGCATCAAGCAACCTATTTACTAGTTTAGATATTCTTATCTATTGAAGCATATTGAATCATGCAGAATTCTAGCTATAGGATCAAATGTATATCTGGCAACAAAATATTATAAACAATGACAATGGAAGCACTTTGGAACAAATGAATATTTCAATAGACAGGACAACGTTATTTTTAATGGCAAGTGGGTTTTTTGGGTACAAAAACTTTGAATATTGAACTGGGTTTGGAAATCAAATGAGGAAAGAACCAGTATTATTACTGCAAGGACAACAGTTACATATATTAAGTCAATATAGGTACCTAAATTTTAACCTAATTTGTAGCTTTTATGATATCCAATTTCTTAAATTAGTTCTATTTTGCTGTTGTCAAAATCAACAATTTTTCAAAGAATTTAAATGGAAAATCATTAAATTGGAATCAAACCTTTGTCCTTTTGAAGGTCCTGGAAGTGAGTTAGTGTAAGACAAGATAAGGCGCTCTCTTTCTGTGTCTGTATAAAACAGAATATATCGCAGGTTACCGTGATTGTGAAACAAGTAAATAAACATTCTTCTATTGATAATTCTGATATACATTTCAAGATATTGTGTATGGTAAAAATACTTTAACACACTGTTTTCTAAAAAGAACTCGCACATTTAAAGGACTGGCAATATTGTACGCAGTGTTTGTAATATTTTTCAAAATAGGTTGATATTCATTTTATTATTATTGACACTAATTTTACTAAAATCAGTTTAATACTAAATGGAATGACATTGTCTTGATTCATCAAAAATTTCATTTTACCAACATGGTTTTTACTATATAAAACTCATACAGTGGAACGGATTTGCCTTAATTTTGTGTGTCCATAATTAAATGTTATCTGCTCATGATAGGTCTGAGTCTGAGATCTTGTGATACTGTACCTGGTACATAATAAGAGGGGTGAAGAACACTTCTTTTCCATTGAACTGTGACAAAATAAACTCGAATCCATCCTGACGTGGCAGTGGGTACACAAACTGTAATGTAAACACACTTGTCAGTGACAACACACATTTCACGCTTCCAACTACACATGTACATCATAAGTTATATTTCTTATTTTTGCAAAAAATTGACGATCTGACGTATTAAATGAAGATTGAATGGTACTGCTCTACACTCATGTATGGTTAATTCTGGAACAGCCCTAATAAGATACAGTCTCAAAATCAAACGGTTGACACTTTTACCACTGATGCTGTTCTTAAAACAATGTCAACATGTGTTAAAATGATGAACAAACTCTAGCAAGGCAGTTGATATGATAATCTTCTTACAGAGTGTTTTGTTGACTGGATATAGCATGATGTTTATATCAATTTGATTGGATAGTCTGGGCTTGACTTGTACAACTAACCAGATACATAGCATATCTAGTCAGTAACAACTAACCAGATACATAGCATATCTAGTCAGTAACAACTAAACCAGATACATACCATGTCTAGTCAGTAACAACTAACCAGATACATACCATGTCTAGTCAGTAACAACTAACCAGATACATAACATACCTAGTCAGTAACAACTAACCAGATACATACCATGTCTAGTCAGTAACAACTAACCAGATACATAACATGTCTAGTCAGTAACAACTAACCAGATACATACCATGTCTAATCAATAACAATTAACCAGATACATAACATGTCTAGTCAGTAACAACTAACCAGATACATTCCATGTCTAGTCAGTAACAACTAACCAGATACATAACATTTCTAGTCAGTAACAACTAACCAGATACATAACATATCTAGTCAGTAACAACTAACAAGATACATACCATGTCTAGTCAGTAACACAATACATTACTTACCACTGTCAATCAATACTTACAACAGGACAGACTCGAGACTTCTCCATCAGATACTCATAGTCCATCTCCTGTAAGATGCAACCAATAAAGATGTTATTCTTCAGAAAAAACACTGCTTTTTTTCTTGCAAATATAAAAGTCATGTATATTCATAAGGTGAGAAATTTGAATGGGACTATTTAGTAAAATAACACCCTTAAAATGGATAAGATACTGGAAATGTATATCTCCTAACGAAACTTTACATAGTTGATAATGACATGAACTGAGGCAAACTTCCAGTGTTGTAAGTTTTACCTTATGGGAAAGCTGATGAGTAATATACAATGTAGCTATGACCAAAAAAAGCACAATATCAAGGCCTTTTAGGGAGAAGTAAATATGTACAGTACCACACTGTCGACTGACAACACAGAGTCAGTGAGTCTGATTTCACACATTACACATGTCGCTTTGAATTTACACAATACATTGCAAGCAAGAATTATAAGTACAGGTGTATCATAATATATAAATCTAATTAAATACTTCTGTTCACAGCTGGATTTGAATAAAACTAGACAGGTTTAATTAGAGTATGCATGCAAGCAGGTACAGGGAGAATTTCAAACCGCACAATGTGTGATATATGTAAGTTTATATGTAAAATGAATAACTCATGTGTAACGATGGTTGAGGTGTTGTTTGGAAGATGCTATTGATTCAAATTAAATACTGGTACTTCTATTCCAAAGAGGTTAAGTGAAAAAAGTGAGAGGTTACCTTCTCTCATTAGCTGGAAAGATATATTTGTAAGTTAGAAATTCACCGACAGCTGCCGTTAAAACGTATGGTTGTACAGTTAAAGATTCTTCATTACTGATTAAGAATGCTTAGAAAACATTGTCTCTTTTCAATTTTTCAACTTGAAACTATATTATCACGAAGAACTTAGTGAAAAAATATTTAAAAAAATGCTTTACTATAAAGTGTCCCTTTATTAGTATTTAAATGTATGTATATCAAATGTTCTAGACAATGGTTTTCAGGATATTTGATATACATGACTGTTGTTTTCAGATTGAATTCGACTCACATTTTTTTGCATCAAATTGACTAAAAAAAAAATGTGTTTGGTATTACTCACCACAGAAATCATGAAAAAGTGGAGAAATAAAAAAGACATGAAGCCTCAAAACTGGGGAAATAAATCTAACTTCCAATCTTTAAACAATATCTTGATAAGTAGTGACAAATCTTTGCTTACCTTGACAACTCCAAATACACAATCTTTTGATACATGGTATTCTTTCCAAATCTGCAAAAAAAAAAAAAATCATTGTTTTATTATTGAAAACATTCATTTTTCACACGTACCTGATTTAATATCTTTAATGTAACTGACTTTTCTTGTACAATTTATTTCAATTTAAAAAATTATTAAATCTTAAACATTGAATTCACTGCCCTTATTCTAATTTATTTATTCCATATTTTAATATGATATTTTTGTCTGAGAAATACAATCACGTATCAGATGAAATAGGTTTTACAACATATTCTTAACATTCAAGATATCTTATTGTTTAAAAACAAAGGGATAAGACAACAGGCAAAGCCTACAGTTAATGTATATATATTCTTCTCTCATTAACACATACTTATACATGTATAGTATTTATTATACACTGAACTTCTCTAATTCGAAAATACTTATCCCAAACATTTAATGTTTGGTAAAAATAAGTTATCTTTGAACTGTTAACTTTGGAGTTTTAAACATTACATGTGTAATTTCTTCTGGTGTTTTGTCTTTCAGCAGGTCCATCTTCATTATCTCATTTAAACTCTGAAAAAATACAAAAAGAAATTATCATTGAAATGACAGCACAATATTATTATAATAATACTGTCATACCAATAAAAGATCATTCTTATAAACATATGTTACATATCATAAAGCCACGAAACAATACAAGGAAGGTGTTTATTAAAGGGTTGAATATTTAATAGTTGTATCACTGCACTCATAATTCCTGTACATCCAGCATTCTTGTTAAACGTCAGATGCTGGCAAAAGTAGCCGGCCATTCATCAACTTTGAACCGGCTATTTTTTTCCGAGTATGTATAGGTTTAACCGGCTATTCTTTTCAAGTCAACCACCTCTTTTAAAATTTATTGATAATACTGACATCAGAAACAGTTTTTAAGTTACATGCTTTAAATGCTTTTGGTATCGGTAACTTAAAGGAATATATATGAACAGTGATTTTATATTTGGCAGATGCCACAATTTAGCACTTTCCATTAAGCACAAAAAAACCTAAAACACAATGTTTACAGAGAGTATCTCCCAGGCATTTCTAAACAGAAGCTTGTTTATATACAACAATAACTTTGTGTTGTCTTTGATACGGAATGATACCCATTGCCGGTCCGATGCCATGAGTATGTGATGAACTTTGACAATGTATTCATGGAGACAGTGGCAGTTTTAAAAGTATATCATACAGCTAATCTTGGCTGTTTTTACTTATCAGTAGGATAACTGTTCTATTTATTTTTCTTACATAGCAAAAGTGATCAACTTTCTGGTAATACCACATGCACATATAAAACAAAAAGAAATTAAATTTTAGTTTGCTTGTGTGCTGATTTTTTTTAGATAATATCATTAAAGGGGAGCTAACTATTACTACTGTGATCATATACTTAATCATAAGTCACACTCAATAGCCAGATAAACTAACTTCAAACAGGAATATCTGTTTGTGAATCGATCAAAGTAGGGTACTTTAATAGCAGTTAAGAAACAATAATACAATAAATAACATCATGCAAAAAAAAAAAAGTCCATGATATTAAAGCCTTGAGGAAATGATTCTTTTTATATTGTTTCACTTCCTGCTTTACATCACCTACATTTTGTGAGATATATGTATCAGTGAGTAACAATTAAAATACCTCTCAAATATTTATGAAAACATGGAATCAGAACAATAGATATAGATCAGGTATTGCACCTTTCACAAATAACAGTCTTTTGGAGAAAGGTCTTTGCAATACAATCACAAAAATACATACTTGTGAAAATGAATTAGTTCACAGTACATGAATATCTTACATTTGGGGGCCAGCTGACAGGGATGGCTCCTGTTCTTGGCTCATCACCTTTGGTTTTAGCAGGAGGTGGGGCTAAGTCTTTCCTAAACATTTCTAGCTCAGCTTGTTTTGTTGCTTCCATTTCTTCTAACTTGGAATGGTACTCCTCTGGTGCTTCGCTAAAAATACATACCGTTCATTCACATATGAATTTCAGCATGTTTTTATCAGAAGCAAAAAGAAATATTAAATTGAAAAAAAATCATGTAACCACAACTGTTATTTTTCATACCGATAACAGTTTTGCAAACTTTTTACTTGTGCATATTAGAACCAGCTTGTTTTAGTTCATTAAGCAAGTTCATTAAGCAAAAGTATTTTAGTACATTTATATAGCAATGTCTTGAATTGGCTGCTTCAAATAATTTCAAAACATTTCAATGTAAAACCTTTTAAGTACAGTACATTTTAAAACAAGACAATTATCTATCAGAACAAGAAGAAAGCAATTTCAAAGTTAAGCATCATTCATATGACTAAAGACAAATTACCATTATCTGATTACCTTTAGTATCAATAGGGCTGTCACAATATATCGGAAAACAGGTATATTGCAATACATGGGTACATGTATATCATATCGTACCACAATACAGAGATGAAATATTGCTTTGTGTTTTAACTTTGCAAATTACTGCAAATTTTAACAGATATGCCAATAAGCATAAAATGGGCTTTTAATAGTGGTGGGAATAAGTTAAAGTTTTGTAATCGATGGTTGGTTTGACAAAAACTTTAAATTGATGTGATCCAAATTATATGATTAAGTCTGATAATATTCTGACAACAACTTATTATAAAATTGAGCACATCCTTCCTATGACAATATATATCGGGATCCATATCGCAATATATTCATTCTGTATTGCAATATATCGGGATACACTCTTGGCGTATTTTGACACCCCTTAGTATATTAACCTTTGTTTTTGCTTCAGTTTATGCCTGTACTTTTCAAAAAATGCATTCTGCTCTAACTCCAGCGCTGATTGCTTTGGTGCACTTTCATTGCTGTACTGTCGTCCTAAAGGCTTTTTTGGAAGTCCTGCCAGATCCATCATGGTTGGCCATCTTAAACCACACGAGGGTGAACAGGTCAAGGTCGGAATGCTTGTACTTTTGGAGACAAGGCTACTAGCTGACGATATGTGGCGATTTGGCAGACGTGACCAACAGGACAGACAGACACGCAACAAGTTAATCCGAGGCATTACTCCAGTGTCAATGCTGTAGTTCATTAGAGTCCCAGCTAATACATGAAGACAATGTGGTCTGTAAAAACAAAAACACTAGAAAAAGTTACATGCAGTTCTTTTTAAATGACAGCTTCAGTCAGGTCAGGCTTTTCAAGTATACAGCTCTTAATGTTTGATTAAACCTTGCATGTCATTTGAGAACTGAATTATCCTGACAAGTATTTGTCCTCTCGATGTTGTTTTATGCATTGGAGATGAAATTACTTAAATGTATATATTGCCTTAAAATTTTACTCTGGGGAAATTAATGTTGTAATTCTACATTTATATCACTTTTTTCTTGCATAAAAAATCCACCAAGTAAGTGCAAAAACAAAGTGTCTGATTTTCATGTTACCAGGAACATTCTACAAACAGCTAATTGTTTGACCCATATAAAAACATTTATTAAAGCGATACATGAAAAGGGAACAATGTGATTACCCCGGGGATTGAACCTGCAATCCCCGACTTCCTTATCGGATGCTCTACCACCGAGCTAAAGGGAAATTACCTCCAGCCTGAAGCTAGGAGGTGACCGTAATTCTATGTACAATTAATATCTGCCACACTACTCCCTCCTTTTTAAATGTGTTCGCCCTCGAACACCACAACAACACGGTTTCTAACTACTTGTCACCACAGGAAGGGCCACAAACATCACTTGTAACAGTACAGAGAGTAGTGTGCCTACACTGGCGATCAAACCTGCGATCCCAGACTTCCTAGTCGAAGGCTCTACCATGGAGCTAAAGGGAAATTTCCTCTAGCCCTAAGCTAGAAGGCAATAGTAATTATATGTACAATTAAAATCAGCCACAAAAGAAACGTGTGTAGTGTACTTTTCATACTGATGGTGTCAATTGTTCAATAATTGAAAGGTGTTATAATATTGATTTGATATGTATGCAGACATATACTAAGACAGCTAATTTCTAATCAAATATAAAAGAATTGTAAAAAGCATGGGCACTTTTATTTTCCTTAAAAAAATCCAAAATAAACTTTGAACTAAGGTGTGTACGTCGTGGATGTGTTAGAAATACTAGGAACAAGCGCTCAAGTATGCCTCCCTGTATTTCACAAAAATATAAGCCGAGGATCCGGCCGGTGTGTGTTTTCGAGGGGGGGGGGGGGGGGGGGGGGGGNCAATTGTAAACAAATCGGACGAGTTTAGTCGTTAAGAAAATGTAGAGACTCACTCAAGCTAGTTTGAAGAGAACAACAAAGAAAACGGAGTGCAACTTCTAAATTGGAAATGCTTACAGTGATTCGTTGTAGGTCGGTACACAGCGAGTCTACTTATTTAGCTGAAAAGCATGTAGGTCGAGCGATGTATGTGTAGGTGAAGCGCTTGAACAAGTTCGATAGTAAATCACCAATCAAAGCAAGGTCTTAGGGGACCCTGATACTTAAGCATTTGTTTGACTTCGATCGGCCAGCTGGCAGCAGACTTTGTGAAAAAGAAAAAAAAGTAAACTAAGATAGTATTGTGACTAATGGTCATTGTCTACATTAAACCATCAACAAGACATATTGTAGGTAAGAGGGTTTCATAATATGGTCGCAAGGGAAATGATGCTGCGTAGATATGGCATGGATTGTTTCAAATCATACAATAAGTTGAATAACAATGTAAGAATGCGTAGCAAGTTATATGTTTCCAAAAATTCCATTTTTGTTGATTTTTTAAGTGTCAATATTAGTGCGTGCTACTCCAGTGACAGTGAGTTCATTACCATCTTGTTTCGCTCAATACAAATGTTAGACTTGGCATAAAAGATAAATTAACCCTCACAATATACTAACAGTTATACTTAGAAAATTTTAGAAGTTGCCAAGATACGGTCTGTATAATTTTTACTGGTGAAGCGGAACTGGACTGAATCGATTATCTAGATCTGCGACCAGGTAGTTCAATTGGTAGAGCGTCCGTCTAGAATTACGAGGGTCCGGGGTTTGACCCCGGTCTAGTCGTTAAATTTTCTCTTTCTCCTGTTACAAAATTGGCGAGCTTGCCAACTCTTACTTCAAACATGGAGATCTAGAGTATGCTTAGCAAGGGGATTCTCGAACGTTGGTTGTAAGTAGTTGTGTCTTTGGGGGCGAGACTTAGAAAAATGAGGGAGGAATGTAGAGGAACTGGATCGCAGACTGGGTCCATCATTGGCAACCATGTAGCTCAATTGGTAGAACATCCGTCTAGAGTTCAGATAGTCCCAAGTTCAAACCCTGCTCTGGGCGTTACATTTTCTCTTTCTCCTGTTACACTGGTATGTAGAAAATATGTTGACCAGTGGCTTCTACATGTAGTTGATCCTTATATGTATCCTATAACCTGTTTTCCTCTGAAATTTGTTTGTTTGTCCTTATTCTAAAACTTTGCTGCACTCTGGTAATTATCTCTGTACATTCTGCTGTACCATACATCTGATCATGATAAGTCCTTAACGTTCCTTGTCCATAATCATAATATAAGTTGTTATCTTCAAGGTACCATCATATTTTCCTTAATTCAGCGAAAAGTCCAGTGGGCAAACCGTTTTTTAGGCAGAAGTTGCAGAACAAAGTTCTGTCATCAACCATCCAGGACACCCTAGAATTGAAACACAGTTTGGAATACTTCATAGATTATACAAGATTGTTTTATAGCAGTTTAACTTTCATTTCCTAATTAAACTTCTATAATAAATATAAATTGAATTTTATGACAGCAAGTATGAGTACACAATATATTCTATGCACAGAATTTATAAATGAAGGGGTAAAATTAATACTTTTCTCCAAAACTCTCAGCTCATTTTGATCGTTTTAAACCCTGCTAGTCATCCCAGAGAAAGAAAACTAGGTGAAGTATTATTCAGAATAAGATTCATCAGTAAGGTATGATTAATAAAGTCTTAAGTTTGTTTTGAACACAAACAGGAGTTGAAAACTTGTTTTGTGAGCTTTTGAAAACATCTGTTTCCTTTGTCAAGCAAAGAGTGTAGCTTGTAAGTACTTTAGTATTACTTGGGCAAGGGTACATGTAAAGTAGTCAGATAGCTTAATTGAGTTCAAATTATCAAATCTTTGTACAAATTTTTTAACACAGGGAAGCATGAGGCCTGTCTGCTTGCTTGTAATAGTAGGTTTTGTGAAGTTCAGCATACTCTGTTCAATGGATTCCTAAATTGAATGAACTAGCTCAGCCATAAGAATAATAAAACCACTATAAGAAAGTGTTACAACAACCTCAAAAAGGGTGTATCAGCTACTTTAGTCCAAGGTTTACATGTTTCAGACTGCCAGTAGGTTCGATCAACATCATCAATTCATGTTGTGTGGTTAGTAAAAGTCATGATGAAAATTGTAATATATACATGTACTGGTTACCAAACAATGATTATGCAGTTGTGTGTTTCCAGATGATATGTTGTAAATAAATATCTAAGCAGTGATGTTGTCTTCTTGCATAGTTCTGATGACTTGAATTTTTTTATGTATTTTTAGGTCACCTGAGCTTTGCTCAAGTGACCTATTCCAATCGCTTTTCGTCCGTCGTCGTCCGTCGTCCGTCGTGCGTCGTGCGTAAACTTTTACATTTTCAACTTCTTCTCAAGAACCAGTGGATGGATTTTTTTCAAACTTGGTCAGAATCATCCTTGGTAGATGAGGCTTCAAAATTGTAAAATTGGGATTCCTACCCCAACCCCTGGGGCCAGGGCGGGGCCCCAAAGGGAAAATTATTCAATATTTCAAAAATCTTCTTCTCCAGACTCAGAGGTACTACAGTGATTTTCTCTACGTGGAAAGAAAGATCATCAGGGGCTTTACTTAAATTGTAAATTTCAGGACCCCCGAGCTATCCGTTCTCCCTTGGGGAGGGGGTAAAGTTTACTATAGTTTATATAGGGAAATAACACTTTTGGGTATATTTTGACAACTTTCTGTAGGAAATTATTTTTACTTGGTGAGAATTATCCTTGGAGGTAGATGGTTTCAAATTGTAAAATTGAGATTCCTACCCCGACCCCTGGGGCCAGGGCGGGGCCCCAAAGGGAAAATTAATCAATATTTCAAAAATCTTCTTCTCCAGACTCAGAGGTACTACAGTGATTTTCTTTACGTGGAAAGAAAGATCATCAGGGGCTTTATTTAAATTGAAAATATCAGGACCCCGAGCTATCCGTTCTCCCTTGGGGAGGGGTTAACGTTTAATATAGTTTATATAGGGAAATAACACTTTTCGGTATATATTTTATCCATTTTCAGCAGAAAATTGCTCAAACTTAGTCAGAATCATCTTGGGTAAATGAGAGTTTTACTTTGTAAAATTAGGATTCCTGCCCCATCCCCAGGGGCTAGGGCGGGGCCCCAAAGGGAACATTTACCAATATTTTCAAATTCTTATCCATTGATGACATGACAAGTATTGTATTTCACTTAGTTTACATGCTGATTTCCACATCACATCTAAACAATAAAATAAAGCTACCAGTATCTATGATATAACTCAGGTGACCGCTAAGGCCCTTGGGCCTCTTGTTAAAGTGTATCGGCACATTCCATGAATTTTTAACAGGTGATGGTTTATATTTCAGATTTCAAGTTGTACAGATGTAGGAGGTAAACAAGATGAAGTCCAGCTGTTGGCTGGCTAAAGCAATCCTGTATATTTTAACAGTACTGAAGACATCTTACTCGACATGTAAGTCTTCCAATAATTTCATGGTGTGCATATAGGGTACTTTGTTTGCTTTCCTGTTGGTACTTTTCAATTGATTAATCTTTTACTGCATTATATAGTAAAATGAGTTGGTTAGGTGAAGGTATGTTATATATTCCATCATATTGTAAATTGAATTTTTCTATCCAAATACATGTACTTAAAAACTTCATTGTAATTTAATACAATGCCTCAATTCAGATATGTTTGAGATGTGTTTGTTAATTGTATTTATACATATAGTTTTGGGATGATTAAGAAAATAAATGCTCATTATAAATTATAAATTCTTAATAAAAACCCAATAAATATATATATGTGTTATTACTCTAATATGTTTAGATGTTGTTCTTGTATTGGTCTATTATTATGTAAATATAGAATGTTAATAGATATTGTATTGTGTGGTACACTCATCCTGTTGTATTTTGGACCAGCCCTGCCCCCAGTAGAAGAAGCAGTATGTAGTCCTAACCCCTGTGAGCATGGCCTGTGTACACCTTTACGTGGGAACAAGTTTTACTGTACATGCTTATCAGGTAATTAACCAGGAAAACTTACTGGTGCCCATTATCATTCCCGGCATTTTTTTTAAAACACACTTTTCATATAACGCATAAGGAATTGAATAACCTCAATTATCCTGCTGTAATTTACAGAGTTAGGGCCCTTTATTTCATTACTGAGACAGTTTCTGCTCAGTATCTTGGGTAATTATCAACATATTAACTTCAGACTTCATATGAAGGCCTAATACCACAACAGCTAATGTATTAAATATATCTGACATATAGATATTCCTTCTGCTTAAGTAAGTAAATACATATTGTAAAACAACAATGTTTTCTCCTATCACCGCATCTCAGAAGTAATTAATTTCTACAGAATAATACAGTAGAATGTTGTTATGTCTTTTTTCATTACAATATTAATATAAAAATGTGTCTGAAGGATTTCAAGTTCTTCAGTTTGGTATGGGGCGTATTTTGCTACGTTCCTGTGGTACTATTGTTAACGTGGTCAGATCAGAAATTTAAAATATTAAATCTTATCTATCTTATCTAACAGAAGAGTCCCCTAAAATGTTATTTATAGTATTACAGATTTTCTTGAAATTTCAATCAATTTGTCATTGTCTTTTTGCATTAAATGGTATGAGCATACTAATCAACATCCTCAATACTTCAAGGGATGATTAATCAACTGGAGCCGTATTCATGAAACCGTTCTCATGCTCAAAAATGGAGACTGTACATGTGCTCAAACCAATTTAATTGTAGCTCACTTCAATCAAATAACACGGTAAAAAGTCAGGTGTAAAACTTCAAAAACAATGTTCTGCTTCAAGCCTCTCCAGATTTCTTCCAAATTACTGTCAAAATGTGAAGTATTTTAGTTTTGTAAAGTTGAATGAAAGTTAAGGTCGACGCAGATTTCTCTTGGTTCACATGTTTATTTCCACAATATGTGGAACATAATAAAAACCCTACAAGGACACAATACAATTGATTACATATATATGAAACACAGCGCTTACATAAAACTCCTAACATGATGTGCATTCAGTGCATACATATTTGGTACGTTCACACACAGTAGGTTATTCAAAATAGGAATAATACTTTAACTTTACAAAGACTGACTTCATCATAATCAATAGTAGAAATTACAGTACTTACACAAATTACTTATACATATATTGAATACAATTATTCTTATCAATTGACACGTGTTTACATTATCATATACAATATTAAAATACCTACCCCAACTGTGGGTCGGGGGTTTACACAGAATGACCTGTTTCTGTATGAGTCTGTTCTCTATCGAAAACTCTATTATCTCAGATCTGGAGAAGGGCTTGAAACTCCTGGATATAAACTACATCCATCCTTTAGGTCCATCTATGAATGAATTCTAAAAACTGCGCCAAAATATGTAACAAAGACACCTGAACTGACCACTGACCAAAACGAGGTAACACCTATATTTAGAACAATTACCTTATATGGACGCAACAAGGAAAGACATGTGACAACAGACTCACGTGTACAAAAACAACATAGGTAGACGGCACAGTGATCGTACACAGCACATGGTTACGCGAACAGCACGATATACGCAGCGCAACAATTATCACAGGATCAACCAATTTATGGCTTGAGCACAAAATCTGAGTTTGAGCATGAGAATGGTTTCATGAATACAGGCCCTGGTTATATATAATGTGACAACTGTAAACTCTTATTAAAAAATAATCCATTGAGAAAACAATCTTTTTAATATTAATCAATTTTTCTTTTCAATTTCGATAGGATATGGAGGCAGTCAATGTGACATTCTTTTCCACGCATGTGTAACACATCCCTGTCTGAACGGGGCCACATGCCAGGTAAGTCAATATCATACACATGTAGCTAAAACTGATTGACTTCAGAAAAGATATAACTATTGTCACCCTAGTAAAATACTAACTGCTTCTTACCAATTTGGCTTGGGAGAATTTCTCTCTAGCTCGTTTGGTAGAGCGTTATAAGACTTGTAAACCAGAGGTCCCCAGTTAGACTCCCGGTGGAGGCATCGAAAAAATAACCTCTGTTACAGTACAGTGAAAAAAATCAAAAAAATCTGTTGAAATTATAATATCTGTACATGGTTGTACATGTATATGTATACGTATTGTCAGAGTTCCTCAAATACAATAATAATAATGAAGAGTTCTAGTGGAATCTCATGTGAAATAACGATTTTGAAATACAACATTTCTTGATTTTGTAATAGAAATTTCATTCTGTAGATGTCAAACTCTTGCATAAAGTGTCTGGCTTGCTGTAAAATACTGAATATTAGATTATAGAGAGTGCTTTGCTTGTTTAAGGTGACTGCGGCGGGGTACATGTGTAAATGTGCTGATGGGTTTGTGGGAAGGCAGTGTGAACAGGAGCTGGACGAGTGTGTTAGTTTTCCCTGTCAACATGGTGGAACCTGTAATGATGGACCGGGGGCATACAGCTGTCAGTGTCCAGTAGGGTACACAGGTACGTGGATAGGTTATCCATCAGTACTACTAAATTTACAGTGGGGTTTATTTTTGTGTTTATATGAGAAACTTTAAGTTGATCCCTATGTAAGAAACTGAAGTTCATCTGACTAGAAGAAAGTAGATAAAAACATAAAAAAAGCGTAAAACATTCATGTGGGATTTTTTTTAATAAAGTTGAAATTTAAAATTTAAAAAATATATATAAGTTTTGATGTATATCTCTCTCGCTTTGAGTTTACACCCTTTTGTGTTCCTATTCATCAAAGCAAAACTGATTTATGGATTTCTTTTGACATAAAACATGGTTTTTATGTTAAACAGAAATCCTTAAATCACAAAGTTAGCATTGTAGGGAAAAAAAGTGAGGAACATTATGTGATCTTTCAGTCCATTGTTAATATTGTTGTAATGATACATGTATAGTTGTTATTAAATTTATTACAGACCTATGATAGAGAGACTATTTTCAAGAGAAAGAGTACAAAGGAATTATGAATTGAATGAGTAATGTGCAAGTTCGTGATGGTTCTGTCAATACTTTATGTGCTAACCTTGCTTCAGTATGTTGATGCGCTTTGTCTACAATAAATAGGGGAGACTTGTCAGACTGACATAGACAACTGTAAGTCTGAGCCGTGTCTGTTTGGAGGGACCTGTCAGGACCACAGGAATGACTTCCATTGTGTCTGTCCTCCGGGTAGAGCTGGTGCTGCGTGTGAAAGGGAACAACTCTGCCTAGGTAAGTCCTCCTGTTACTTAGGTGTTATTGTTACACTTTACAGAGAGATTGGTCTGAAAATACTCAGTCTTAATATTTTGAGATTGAATTTCTTTGACTGAATTTCAATACTTATTAATATTTAGATCTTATAGACTGTATAATACATAAATGATGTGGGTAATTGATTATATTTTATCATATTAAACATAAACTGATTGTCATAGGACTTGTAAACAGTATTCTCCAGACCAGAAAATATCATTAGGACGGCTATTTTAAGACACACAATATATATATTCTGATGAATATTTGTATACAAATCAATAATATCACAATTACAGGTCAAAGCTCAAATACTTGTTGATTAGTGGTTAATTCTCATCTGATATTGCCTTTTGAAAACCAAATATACATTTCGGCATCAAAGCGTGATATAAGTAGAAAACATGAATGTTTACTTAATGGTTATCATCATTAGATGAAACTTGTGGCTAGGACTGACACTGGTCATAGCCATTGTGTAGTTAACCAGGTTTGTCCATCAGCTGTACTATGTAGATCTGTCATGATCAGCAGCTTTCAACTTCCTGTTCTTATTGTGGCTTTAATTGCAGATGACCCCTGTAGGAACCATGGTGTGTGTATTCCCACTGGTCAGGCCAACTTGTGTCACTGTTTGACAGGTTTTACAGGTGACCGGTGCCAGACCAATATCAATGAGTGCTCGCTGACCACATCACCATGTAGTGGTCATGGTAAGTAATTAAAAACTTCTAAGTGTAATGATGTTATTGATTCCAGATTCAATCTGGAAAACATTGTACCAATCAGTTACAATACAGGAATCTGACTAGATTGTATAGAAGGATATTGAAACCTATTCCCAATTCAATGCAAAATCAATACAGCTTGTTTTCTTAAATCATCACAACAACTTGGAAAATCTCAAATATTATACATTGTTATAATACTTAATACAGGGATTTTGTCCCAAGGAAAACAATTATACAATATTTTCCTAAATTTCACAAGTGTCCAGAAAGTATAAGAAAAATCAATATTTCCGGTAAAAAGAAATAGTGAAGAAATAGTGAGAATCCAACAATGATTAGCCTAAGTACCATTGCATGTTGTCTGATAGCAGTATGAGATGTACTCCAGACTCCTCTGATCAGAGTCTGATGACAAGTTGATGTCATGATCGGGGGTACTGATTTTGATACACATCAAAAGAAAGTGGCACCACTATAACTGATATGCAAGGAAACATTATTACATAAACAACAATCAATTTATGGAATGAAGATGGTCAAAAGTTTGAAATATTCCTTGAGTATTGAATACCAGGAAATTTCGCCCAGTCAAACTTTTGCCCTTCACTGGTAAAACGCACTTTCGCCTGTGTATGGATTTTACCCTTCACATTTAATTACATGTATATAGAAATATTAACTTTGTACATTATGTTGTTAACTGTGACGTTTGCTGTAATGATAAATTCGCCCTCACTATGGAGGGCAAAACAGGCAGATATTATAACAGTGGCAAACATATTACGGTACTCTGTATTAAATTTAAAGAAAAAAATGAAAGCTTGTGGTAAAATCTGATGGTAATTTATGTACTAATGTATTTCAAATAAATAGATTACTTGACTAAGTATACTTCGACAATACAACTTTGTATATACAGGAATTGCTAACTTGCCCTTCTACATATGTTCACTAAATCTATGACATGTTTTGTATGATTAACTCCCTTGATTCAGAGCGAGAGGAATATGCGCTCCTTAGCTAAATTTTGATGACTTCCTGATCTGATGGTGGAATGTTTTTAATATATAAATCAATGTGAAAACATACCAATCACTGCAGTATTACTACTTCTTTTATTTCTATTGTTTACTAGGCAGTTGGTTTCACATCTCTAGTTGATGTAATCTGTGAATTACAGAAATGTATGTCTAAAATTATTGCCATATTCGTAATCTACAGGTAATTTACATGCACACAACTGTAGTTCTTGCCTCATAACTTGAACAAAAAGACAACTTTTCTTTAAATATAGCAGTTCTCTGCTCATGTTTATAGCGCTGTATATACATATATGTATTAATCATATTTCATTGTTTGGCTTTTCTGCAATTTTGAAGGTACCTGTGTGGATGGAGTAGATGGCTTCACTTGCATTTGTTCAGACCATTTCACTGGGCTTACCTGTGAGTCTGAGGTCAACCCATGTGACCTTTCTCCCTGTCAAAATGGAGGACAGTGTTGCCATAGAAACAAGCTGTTTTGCCCTGTAGGTCTGGGTCTTGGGGAGTACCAGTGCTACTGTGATTCCACTGGAGGTTATAGTGGTGAGTTTGTCTAATCTCTAGTTTTTCTCTCGATATCTATAGTTATACACTAACGAAACAATTGGTACATTATGTGTATGTTATCCAGTACAGCATTTCAGCATTTCCATATCATATTTAGCAATCTGATACATGTATTCCAAAGGTCCAGAACCTTCAAACTGTCAGATCTCACTATGATACATTATTGTTTCACTCAATCTCCTAGAGGTAGACTTATATACCAAAATCTTAAAGTCTTCAATATTTAGTTTCTAATCAAAACTTTATCACAGAATTGGTATTAGGTCAGGTAATAAGAATGTGGTTTCGAGTGTGAAAGATAGACATTGAACAGAAAGTATTTTCATGTATTATTCATACCCTTTACTTTGCAGGACGTCACTGTGAGGTGTCCAACCCCTGTTACAGTCAGCCATGTCAGAACGGCGGCCTATGTTCTATGTCAGATGGAGACATCCATTGTACATGTCCACTGACCTTTACCGGTCAGCATTGTGATATACCTCTGCCCTGTGCTAGCCAGCCGTGTGTTAACGGAGCCAGCTGTGTGGGGACAGGAACAACCTACACCTGTGACTGTGACCCTGGTCACACGGGAACTTACTGCGAGTTCAACATCCCATGTCATTCCAATCCTTGCAATAATGGGACTTGTGTGGTTATTGCAGGTGAAGAAGTGTGCGATTGTCCTTCTAATACCACTGGTCAGTTTTGTGAGTTTGACCATCCCTGCACAAGTCAACCATGTCAAAATGATGGCATTTGTAAACAGGTGTCAGGCCTAGATTTCAATTGTACTTGTACAGTGGGTTTTACAGGAACATTGTGTGAATCTAGACTTCCCTGCTCTGATTTTCCTTGTGACAATGGTGGGACTTGCATTTCAAATGGATCAACAACAGTATATGTTTGCAGTTGTCCTAAGGAATTTACTGGTAAAAATTGTCAAAATGAAATCCAATTCCCTTGCCAACCTTCGCCCTGTCTAAATAATGCTACATGTATAGACACATCAAACAACTCTTTTGTATGCAACTGCCTGCCAGAATTTGAAGGCAAAAATTGTGAAATTTTCTTAAAATGCTCCAAACATCCTTGTCAAAATAATGCCACATGTGTGAATCTTCCAAACAGTACATATTCCTGCATTTGTCCTGAAAGTGTAACAGGACCAAATTGTGAGACAGTGCTCCCCTGTTTAAGTCAGCCCTGTAAAAATGGCGCGACTTGTGTTAATTCTATTATTAACAAATCAGCATTTAACTGTAGCTGCTTTCCTGGGTATACTGGAAATGTATGCGAGAGTTATGTCCCTTGTACAACTAAGCCATGTTTTAACGATGGAATATGTACCAATTCCGGGACATCATTTCACTGTAATTGTACACCTACCTATGAAGGTTTACAATGTGAAACCTACTCACCTTGTGGAAGGAACCCCTGTCAGAATTCTGGTCTTTGTACTGATGATAACGGTTCTTATAAATGTTCATGTGCTGTCGATTACACTGGTCGTCACTGTGAAACAGCTATCTACCCTTGTATCAGAAACCCCTGTCAACATGGAGGCTTATGTGAGGAGTTAGGGGTGGGGTTATATTCATGTAGCTGTCAATCAAACTATGTAGGTCGGGACTGTGAGAACTATGTATATTGTGGCAGTAGCCCTTGTCAAAATGGGGGCACCTGTCTGAACAAAGCTAACACTTTCCAGTGCTGGTGTTTAGAAGGTTTTACCGGGGACAGCTGTGAGAGTCGTTTGCCCTGTGGGGGCAGCCCTTGTGTCCATGGGAAGTGTCGAGAAGGAACATGCATCTGTGATGCAGGGTATACTGGGCAGTCATGTGACCAAGCCAAGACAACATGCAGTCCAGACACTTGTATTCACGGCAGCTGTATATCACAGAATGGACACTTTGTCTGCATCTGTAACCAAGGCTATACAGGTAAGTAGTGATAGAAACTGATTAAAACACCTTCTAATTAATAAGTGACAAGTATCAAATTAGAATGATTTTATAACAATAAGTCAAAATTGGAATGCTACAAAACATCCAAAACATATTTGCTGATTTTGGCAGTTCCTACAAATTTGTTTTCACTGTGGCTATATTCATGATTTGATGGAAAGGGGATCCAACTAAGTTGGTTAAGTAATGCGTAGAAAACAAAATTATTTTAAATTGTTTGATTTCAGGCATCTCTTGTACCCAGATAAAAGACCCTTGTAAAACTAACCCTTGTAAAAACGGCGGATATTGCCAGTCAGCTGTTGGAATGACAACACACTCGTGTGACTGCCCATCAGGTTTCACAGGGCCCAACTGTGAGACACGTATCCAGCCATGCTACTCCCAGCCCTGTTACAATGGAGGTAGCTGTGTGGACATGGTCGACAATTATAAATGTCTCTGTACAGCAGACTTCAGCGGTAAGATCCTAACTATCAGTTGGTTTTGAACTAACATAGAATTTTTGTGAGTGATTAAATTTCCTGAACAACAGTGTCACTTTATTTTGATTGTAAAAACTAAATTGTATTATTTTGCAAACCTTTTTTTTTAACTGATTTTTTTGCGCTCAGTTTTACTGCCGAATACAGGCTGTTTCTCCTAACCAAAAAGTGTTTTATTTTCCCAAAATGGCCAGAAACTGAGGAACATATTCCCAATTTCAATACAAATAATGCTATATTTTCCCATTTCATAAACGAATAGGCTGTTGTAAAATGTAGGTAACAAAAACACTAAATGGTACTGCTTTTCTTAGATTTTGTCAAAAGATTTCCATTTGTTATTTTTCTAATTATCTATATATCATCCTACAGAAAGTGATAATGATATGGAGTTTTTTGGCAGGAAGTCGTTGCGAACAGGAGATGAGCCCATGTGATCAGTCTCCCTGTCAGAACAAAGCTCAGTGTAAAGACACAAATGGAACCTTTCAATGTATTTGTCCGCCAGGATTTTCAGGTATACACTGATAGACTAACTAGATATTCTAGTCAACCCTTGTCAGAAAACTATTGTAATTAATGAAAGTGTTTAGAATATTCATGATAGAAATAATAGGAATAAACAAAGAAAAAATCAAAAACAAAATCAAAACACAAAGAATTTGCTCCCTGCATTACATGATTTAGACAATTACAATGTTCTAGTAATTTATAAGACTCGAAGTAACAGGTTTCTCCAAAATGTTGTCTTAATAACATTATTTGTTACAGTTGTTTTAGTATTCTAGTGATTGACATAAGTTGACTATATTCCTGATTATAAATTGAAAAGAACTCAACCCTATTCTCTTCACCACTATTTTGATTTTAAAATCAGTGCTTCTGATACATCTTAGCTCCTGTAAATAATTTAGTACCGAGGGATGATGTAATACTATATACCTGTCCTTATTACATTTGTAGGAGTGCGATGCGAGCTTGGTGTAAATGACTGCCAGAGCCAACCATGTCACAACCATGGCGTGTGTAGTATCTCGTCCACCGGGATTGTATGTAGCTGTCCACCATCCTTCTCTGGTATGCTGACCAAGACACTGATTCAATATGAACTGAGTAATAGATAGACTGGGTGAAGTACATGTATGATAGCTGAGTTAAAGTATGACTGCCGGAGTTAAGTTTCTCTGGGGTTCCTCCAGATCCTAACCCACCCCAGCTATTGGGTATTCTCCATCTTACATCACACATGGGCCGGGTGTAAGATTGTTTTGCTAGCAAATTTTGCAGACTAGCACAGAAATGCATCAGTCACATATAGTTTTAGTAATTTGGTTTGACAATCACTGTCTTCGTACAGAATGTGCCTGCCGTCCAGACCTGTGAGGGCTAAATAGAATATTTTAGCATGGTTTAAATTTTTGAAGTTCCTGTCTGATAGGCAAAAATTAAGGACTGCCCACATAATATACAATCTGGAATAAATTGTCACCTTCCATATATGTTCAATAACTTCTTCTATATGTATTTTTAACATAACCGCTGTTTCTGTTTTCGTGTCCAGGGGTGTACTGCGAGACACTGGTGAGCTCCTGTGACCCAAATCCATGTCAAAGTGGTGGACAATGTTCCATGGATGAGTACGGCATGTTCTGTACCTGTCCAACTGGAGTGACTGGCTGGTTCTGTCAAATTAATGGTAAGTGTACATGTGTATGTAGTAAACTTGCCTAACGTGATCAATTTACAGTAATGCCATTGTGAAAACAGTAGATTGAGATGGGTGAAATAATATATTTAAAAGAATGTAAAATGAATCAGGTTTACACCAATATCATAATTTATTTTTAATGTAAAGATGTGATGAACATTAAACGACCTGTTTGTTTTAATCATGAGGAGATAAATTAGAATGAGGGATAACTCCTTCAATCTTAGGGGATCTGAAGTATCTGTCTACTATTTCTTAATCATTGTTCTCAGTAACTTGTTATTATGTAATATTATATACTGCAGTTTTGATTTTGTTCTTTGTAAATGTCATTTTTTCATGAAAAAGAAAACGCTACAGTAACACTGAATTTGTGTATTAGGTCAATGGTATATCTTCTGTTAGTTATTACTATCTGTTGGTGTCACATGACTTGCCTGATCATCAGAGCTACTGTGGATATTCATAATTCTGTTTTTATTACTCAGATTTACAAAAAGGATAATTATATATTCTTTTACTTCTTTTTTTTCTAATTAGACAACTGTGCGGCAGATATGTGTAATCAGCACGGTGACTGTTGGGAGGACAAAAGCAAAGTCATTTGTGATTGTCAACCAGGATATTCAGTATGTATGAATTATGTATCACTTTGAATATCAAAAGTAACATTTGTACGTACATATTGTTAAACAGTTAAAATTTAGATCTTATGTATTTCATGTTGGAAATATCTTGAGTAAAAATAAAAACAAATTCACATATATATATGTATATAATATTTCTGTTTCCTTTTGAAAGTTTTAATCTTTAAATCTCAATACTCTTTGAAATATTGGGCAATGGTAATTTTGTCAACAATTTGAATAATTAACAGGGAGAGTTTTGTGTGAAAAGCATAGAGGGATGCGAGTCGGACCCTTGTAAACGGGGCACCTGTTCAGAGGATGCTACGGGGGCATTCCAGTGTTCCTGTCCACCAGGGTTTGTGGGGAACAAATGTCAGAGTCTGGATCCTTGTGGGCGTAAGTACATCTACAGGGTGTATAGTGTGTCTGAACTGACTGTCACTTGATTTGCACATTTATTGTTAGAGTCATAACAGCAGTCCTGTAAACAAGATAAACAATCTATATGAAGATACTGATCTATTCCCTAATTGTTTTTGTTTCCCAATTTTGAGATTGTCAACAACATTTTTCTTCGTCAATTTTCAAAATTCTTTTTCCATTTTATTCAGAGTGCCAATGCAAGTTATTAACAGATACAAAACCTGAGAAACTAAATCGTTTAATGTTAAGTCGTTCACTAGTGCATTAAAACACCTTTTAATCAAGAGAATTTCAGACAATTTAACCTGGGAAGTAATGTAGTTACATAAATTCTAAAATTTACATCCTGGATCTAGATTTTGTGGATTTTTTTGTTTTGTTTTTGTTTTTTGGTAGGGGGGGGGGGGGGGGGGGGNACATACATTGTTAAAACCTATCCTGAACTGGGTGTCAACAATTCACACGATGATGACTAACTTTTGTTTTTATTGTTAGTATTGGTAGACAATATGTTGTTAAAGTATAACTGTTTAGCTCTGTGTGTGTATACATTTAATGTTTAAATATGATCTTCATCCATTTCAATATCTTTAGACATCTAGCTATTCTGTCCAACATACCTGATGAAATTAAATGATACATACCATGAAGATAATGACAAAATAATACACAAAACAGGTAGATAAAGACAAAATAATACACAAACCAGCTTGTAGATAAAGACAAAATAATATACATATCAGGTAGATAAAGACAAAATAATATATATACCAGGTAGATAAAGACACAATGATACACAAACCAGGTAGATAAAGACAAAATAATACACAAACCAGGTAGATAAAGACAAAATAATACACATACCAGCTGGTAGATGTAAAGACAAGATAATACACAAACCACATAGATAAAGACAAAATAATACACAAACCAGGTAAATAAAGACAAAATAATATACATATCAGGTAGATAAAGACAAAATAATATACATACCAGGTAAATAAAGACAAAATAATATGCATACTTGGTAGATCAAGACAAATTGATATACCTACAGGTAGGTAAAGACAAAATAATATGCATACCAGGTAGATCAAGACAAATTAATATACAAACCAGGTAAATAAAGACATAATAATACGCATACCAGGTAGATCAAGACAAATTAATATACATATCCGGTAGATCAAGACCAAATAATATATGTACCTGGTAGATAAAGACAAAATAATGTACATACCTGGTAAATAAAGACAAAATTCTAAACATGATAAAGGCAAAACAATATACAAATGTACATATTATGTAGATGAAGACAAAATAATGTACATATCAGGTAGATAAATTCAAAATAATACACATACAAGGTAGATGTAAAGACAAAAAAATACACAAACCAGGTAGATAGACAAAATAATACACAAACCAGGTAAAGACACAATAATACACAAACCAGGTAGATAGACAAAATAATACACATATCAGGCAGATAAAGACAAAAGAATACACAAACCAGGTAGATAGACAAAATAATACACATATCAGGTAGATAAAGACAAAAGAATACACAAACCAGGTAGATAGACAAAATAATATACATATCAGGTAGATAAAGACAAAATAATATACATACCAGGTAGATAAAGACACAATGATACACAAACCAGGTAGATAAAGACAAAATGATATACATACCAGGTAGATAATTATAAAGACACAATTTTACACAAACCAGGTAGATAAAGACAAAATAATGATGATAATAGAAAAATAGCCTCCCATGACTTGAATTGTTAATAGTTTTTGAAACAGTGCAAAGAAAGCAAACAAAACGAAAACTCAAAAACAAAAAAAACAAAAACAAAACATGATAAAACGAAATAGGATTCTTCTTTAGAATACATGTGAAAATAGCAATGGGGCTATTTCAGTAAACATCTTCTGGTACCTAACCCTCAGTTTTGTATAAGGTTACCACCATAGAATTGATTCAGTATTTTTGTACAGAAGTAATTAGTAATAAAAGGAATCCCAACCATAGGTAGAAATCATATGATTTTGGAATTCTGGGGTTTGGTAGTTTTCTGTTCTTTTTTTTCTCTAGAATAGACCCAATTCTGAATAATTAACAAACACATTTCAGATATTAAAAAGAAAAAAACATTACTTTCATAAAATTAGGTATTGAATGTGTCACTTACATGTACCACTCAGTGTTTGCATGTTACACACCAGAGCCTTGTTAGTCAGGAAACTTCAGCTTCTTAACTATTGGATATTTCCCCAAGATCATTACCATTTTGAAAATTAGCACCAAAACATGTGTCCATAGGGTAAAAGAGGTTACTTACGGAGGCTCGGTTAATGCATGTTCTGTGTTTATCATTACTTCCTCACCAGCACACCTCGGTCAGTCAGTCTGTCAGAATGGGGGCCACTGTCAGGTTGTAAAAGATGACTATCGATGCATGTGTCCACCTGGGTTCAAAGGTCAGCACTGTGAGTTGGCCTATCATGCATGTTCTGGTACAATTGCTCGCTGTCAGAATGCTGGTATTTGTATATTCAATGTCTCGGCCATATCTTCCTACACCTGCACATGCACACAAGGTAGGTATAGAATGAATGCTATTTATACATGTTTGTTGACTTTGCACCTATCGACAAACTCCTATGGAAATAGTCTGACTCAAAATGTTTTGTAAATATATCATCTCTTAAACAAATTTTGACTTGCTTCCAGTTTTGAAGAATTTTCGTGCTAAATTTTAATACTTGCTTATCCCCCTTACTTTGAGAAACATACATCCGAGTGATGAGAATTGTTTGTATAATTTTACTGAATAATACAGTATTCTGGAGACGGGGGTCAGTCTTAAATGTATCTTACATTTTTCTCTATTAGTGTAACTACTCACATTCCTGCATATTTGAAAAATCTAAATTTTAAAATTTAACTGAAGAATCTATACGTTTTACGTAAAACCATTATGCAACTGGATTCATATGTATTGGCAAACATCTGGTTGTATATATACACTAGAAATTGTATAAAAAGCAGGTTGTATAGTGATTGTATCAACAACAGATTATATAAACAAGATTGTTTAAACAAGAGATTATATAAACGACAGGTTGTATAGAGATTGTATAAACAACATGTTGTATAGAGATTGTAGATTGTATAAACGACAGGCAGTATACACTGAAGATTGAATAAACGACAGATTGTATACACAACAGATTGTATGTGTATACATAACATATTTTATATTAATTACATGTATTGAAGGAGAATTTTACAAGTTGATTACCTTATAACAGATATCAATGTTATTTATATTTTTGCAGAATACACTGGTAGACATTGTGAGACACCATTCCAGTAAAAATGGCAGGAAAGATTCCCCAGATAATCAAAGGAGAAAGAAGACTGCTACCATCTATTATTATGTACTGTTAATGCAAGACATCTTTAGCATAACAAGTAAAATGTGAATGTTTGTTAATATTTACCATTTTATATTGAATTAATTCTTACGTTTAAATGTATATTATGATTGAAACATTCCACGCAGTGCAATATTTTCTTTGTTATGTGCAATATAATACATGATGTATAATAACTGTATTAAACATTGAAAAATATGGTGAGTGGGTGATCCAACGTCCATGAAAAGAGCTCAGCGAAGTTCTGTGTTACCCAGCAGACGGATTCCACAAGGACTACACGAGTCCAGCCGTAGTAGTGGATTTATCAGTAGGCAAAGTTCTGTGTTACCCAGCAGACGGATTCCACAAGGACTACACGAGTCCGGCCGTAGTAGTAGAGTTATCAGTAGGCGAAGTTCTGTGTTACCCAGCAGACGCATTCCACAAGGACTACACGAGTCCGGCCGTAGTAGTAGATTTATCAGTAGGCGAAGTTCTGTGTTACCCAGCAGACGGATTCCACAAGGACTACACGAGTCCGGACGTAGTAGTAGAGTTATCAGTAGGTAGAGATGACCATGACATGGACGTGTATAGTATTGTTTTACCATTACTGTACAAAATGGCTTGTATGTATACTTTCCACAAGAGATCATATACATATTAATATATTATTATTTTGGTTATCTATATAAACTATGTATTTTTATATGTATTACTGTGTTCAGACAGTCATGATGCTCAGTGCAAGTGTAACATTACTTCATGTTAAGCTGTCTTCACCCCTGGCAGGTCGCCAACTTTTGTTTTTCTGACATGGCTGATATTTCTGTATTAAAACATTATTCTTTTATGGGTTACTGGTATGACGTTTCCTAGCAGTAACAAAAGTGGAATCATGGGCACTTATTATGTCAGATAGTTAACTTGTACTATGCATGCAGGACCATACCATTCCAGGGTAGTTTATTCATAAATAGTTTGGATAGTTATTCTTTCAACTACTTACTACTGTCCTATGTAAATGTATGTAGTGTCTATCTGTTTGGTTGTACTGTATAACACACTATACTACTAACTATAGATCTGTGATGTCAATGCCTTGTTAAAAAGATAAAAGAAATCCGATCTTGTCTAGAAACATGCCTGTTTTCTAGCATATAGTGTAAGATACTGATCCATTCAACCCTTTTTTTTAAATATACCTCCTGAGCTTACTGGCAGATTTCACCATTTGCTATGATCCAGGGGTGTAGCTAGTCCTTGATCAGAGTGGATTCATTCAGGAGCTGGTCGAGGGAAGTACCTTTGTAGGGGGACAAGGGGGTACAGCAAGCAGTGTGTTGTTTCTGTTTGAAAATACGCATCTGTGATCAACTTGGCAGTTAACAGAAATTAGTACGAGACATTTCTCCTATAGCGGTTTGATTGGAGCAAAATTGATTTAATTTGTGGAGCGCACCGACATCAGTTTACTGTGTTTACTATATAGCTTGTATAATATTGCAGTGTGGTGAATATCGGGCTAAAATCGTGATTGACTTACAACATGTATATAAAGTTATGTGCAATACTTAATGAATTTGATGTTTTATGCAATATATTTATGAATTTTTTGTATATGATAAATACTTGGGGGTAATATCATAGGGGCTGGGCCGGACACATGAACTAAGGACTTGTTTCGTTTCTAGTTGATGCATATATTACATAATTTTATACAATTCTGTGATTTCCTGTCTCACAAGTACGGTCTGTGTTTTTAAGAGAATTTTTGCATAATGTATTCTTACATTGATGATCTTTTATTCAATACACAATTCCAGTTTAATGTACCCTGTTCACACTTGTATACATTTTTTTATCAATGACAAAAGTTGGTGTGAAAATTAAGTAGATATCTATATTTGCTATTTAAGTGACTATTTCAGAATAAAATATCTCCATCCATAGATTTAGAAGGAAAAATGATAATATTGATGAAGGTGCAGATGTTTGGATTCTAAAGCTGTGCTACAGATTAAATGAAGCTGTCCTGGTGATGTACTCAGAAATAAGATGGTCCAATAGCTCTGGAACTTCTCCCGGTTGTGTCAAATATATTCAAATATATATAAAGAGATATATTTAGATGAATGGCTTTGATACAGAAAGATATAGGTATTACATATCATTTTAAATTGATCAATCGGAGAGCAGCAAATTAAAACCAAAAGTAATTTATAACAAACTTTCAATGCAAATAAGATGCATCAGCCCTGTATCTAATTGTGGGTTGAAACCATTTTGTGCACCAATGGCAGTCTGCTCTACACATCCTGTACTTGTCTTTTGGAAATATAGTGAAATAGTGTTGATTGTTTCCAGATGTATTTTTCGCTAGCTCTTTGTATTCGTGTAAATTATCATATGCTAACCTGCGTATTGTATATTGAAACAAATGTATGGAACATTTGTTCGTGAACATTTTGGGTTGATTTTTAAGTATATGTATGTACTCTATTTTGTTAACAGCATTTAATTTGTCAAATTATGTTACTTTTATTGTGTTGACACACTGTACAGTGAGTCTTTTTTTCCACTATATATTCTGCAGTAGGGGTCTTGGTATCCATTTCATATACAATTTATGGAGCTTTGGTTTAGTTTAGCTTTGCAGTCCTGAACAAAATCACACCTGCTACATATTTCATCCATTTTAAACGAAAAAGCAAATATATTTAAGATCATTTTTATTATTTAACCAAAAAGTTATGTGAATGCTCTAAAAGTAATACCATTTCATATCGGACCATGCCAAATTTTAATGAATGACGCCATCCTGAATCCAAGTCCTGTTTTACATTTTATGAGGTATACATTTTTTGTCTTATGTTGTTTTTTGTGGTCATAGTTTTAATTTTACCGCAGTAATTTTTTTTTGATTTAATTTTTTTTTTTTATTTATTTATTCTGTTGTTTGTATTGTTTTTATGTTATTTATATGGATTCAATTTTGATCAGTCTTATGTACATGTACAATGTAGCTATGCACAATATTTACTTGACCAAATACTTCAGTCTCTAAAACGGCTATTTTAAACGAAATTTGTTTTAAGTTGACATTTGTTATTTTGTTGGTTACAGCTGAAAATAATACTGCATAACAACGAGAGAAATCCAATTTTTTTGCAACACCAGACTTTTCTACCAATGTCATCGTAATCATGGAATTGTTTCATGGTAAAATGTCCCTGATTTGGGTCAAGTGCTTGATATAAGCACATAAACGGTAAACTGGACAACTATTGAAAGTTGTCTTGGATTCTAATGACATATGTGTAAAATAACCTCCAACAAATTCATCTAACTCCGATGTTGCTCCCTCCCTTTTTAAAGAGAGACACTTATCGTCTCTAAAAACAAAATCAGAAACGAAATTAAGCTGATTAAACGTGATTTCGTTTACTGGAAATGTCTAAATTTAGAACCCGATTTTTTTGTCAAGATGGTTAGATATCTTGAAAGGTGTTAATAAAGTTATTTTTGTTACGTATTTCTCTTCTTGTATTATTTTATTAAAAGTGTGCAATTTTCTAAAAATGAAACGCTTTATAGTATTTATAGAGAATTTCAATTTTCCTCTTAAATATTTCAACTACAGTTTTTAGCTCACCTGGTCCGAAGGACTATGGTGAGCTTATGCCATACCGCAGCATCCGTCGTCCGTCCGTCGTCCGTCCATCAACTTTTCCTTTAAAACGCTACTAGGCCTGAACGGCCATGTAGATTTTGACTAAATTTGGTCTAGAGTATCCTTAGGCCAAGGGAACTCAATTTTGTATAAACGGTGGGTGTTGCCCCCCTGGAGGCAGAGGGATCGGGCCCAATAAAGGAAATAGAGGTAAAACCTTGAAAATCCTTCTTCTACTGTAGGGATTAAAGGATTTTATCCTAATTTAGTCTGGAGCATCCTTGGGCCAAGAGGACTCAATTTTGTATAAACGGTGGGTGTTGGGGGTTGGGGGGCGGGGCCCAATAGGGGAAATATAGCAAATTCTTTAAAATCCTTCTTCTTCTGTAGGAATGAAAGGATTTGTTCCATATTTGGGTTGGAGCATCCTTGGGTGATGGGGAACCAATTTTGTATAAATGTTGGGTCTGGCCCCACTGGGGACTGAGGGGCGGGGCCCAATAGGGGAAATATAGCAAATTCTTTAAAATCCTTCTTCTTCTGTAGGAATGAAAGGATTTGTTCCATATTTGGTTTGGAGCATCCTTGGGTGATGGGGAACCAATTTTGTATAAATGTTGGGTCTGGCCCCACTGGGGGCTGAGGGGCGGGGCCCAATAGGGGAAATATAGCAAATTCTTTAATATCCTTCTTCTGTAGGAAAGAAAGGATTTGTTCCATATTTGGTCTGAAGCATCCTTGGGTGAAGGGGAACCAATTTTGTATAAACCGTGGGTCTGGCTCCTCAGGGACCTGAGGGGCAGGCCCAATAGGGGAAACATAGCAAATTATTCTTTAAAATCCTTCTTCTTCTGTAGGAATGAAAAGATTTGGTCCATATTTGGTGTGGAGCATCCTTGTGTAAAGGGGAACCAATTTTGTATTAACGGTGGGTGTGGCCCCCCTGGGACCTGAGGGGCGGGGCCCAATAGGGGAAATATAGCAAATTCTTTAATATCCTTCTTCTGTAGGAAAGAAAGGATTTGTTCCATATTTGGTCTGAAGCATCCTTGGGTGAAGGGGAACCAATTTTGTATAAATGGTGTGTCTAACCCCCCTGGAGGCAGAGAGGTGGGGCCCAATAGGGGAAATAGAGGTAAAACCTTTAAAATCCTTCTTTTACCATAGGGATTTAGGGATTTTATCCTAATTTTGTCTGGAGTATCCTTGGGCCTAGGGAGATCAATTTTGTATATGCAGTGGGTGTGGTCTCCCAGGGGGCAGAAGGGCGGGGCCCAATAGGAGAAATAGAGGTAAAACCTTTAAAATCCTTCTTCGACCATCGAGATTAAAGGACTTTTTCCATATTTAATCTGGAGCATCCTTGGACCAAGGGGTCTCAATTTTGTATAATTGGTGGGTATGACTCTGAGTATCATGTTCTAACTGTTATTAAAGGAGAAATACATTAAGAGAAATATATGGGTAATCTTTTGAAGCTGCCGGGATTGGAACCCGTCAGGGATTTAAATAGCAATTTTTAAACAACAAGTGAACAATTATATAATTCAATAAAAAAAATCTTGAAGAAATGACAACAAAGTCGAATACGTTTCACTTTGGATAATTTTACTAATTAAAACATAAGGTGAACGTAAATTAAATATGAAAAAATAGTTGAAAATATAAAACGACGTTGAGCAGTCAGACATGTTAGCGTTCGTCCACTTATCTACATACATTGTAGCTGTGTACATTTAAAATAATGATATCAACTGTATAGTGGTCTATGCTATGTAAACTGGTAGTTATATGGTACAGCCCTAAAAACATTAAAGCATACCCAATCTTTCTGGACAATAAACAGTGTCAACAATTACGCGTCATACCTTATCCGTCTGCCAGGTAGCGTATTAACACCACTGCATATTATCATGTGTAATATTTGTACATATCACACAGTTTGAAATCAATTGTGTATGCCAATTTGGTTGAGTGTGGCAAAACAAATACCAAACGCAAGCCAAATCTATGAAGCACCAACTCAATTCATAAAAATCGTTTATAGTAGGAACTCTTATTCAAGCAAGGGACCGCAATCGATTGGCCTCTCGCCTTTCAAAACATTTTGGACTTCAGCAAGGCTACGTTATCCCATCCTAAATACTCCAGGGGTTACGCTCTCTGTGCCCCTCGAATATGTCATAACAAAAATCGAAGGCTCAGTGTGCACCACCTTGTAGATGTGACGAGAAGTATAATTCGATCCTTTTATGTACATCAAAAGAATCTGTCGGTCGCGTAACTGTAAAATTGACTGGCATTGAAGTCGGGTGTTGCTTCTCTGTAGTTTTCAAAGGACAGGCATCAGTCTTGCAATTGGTCAGGTTGTTTTACCCGAGACCAACCAAATAGCTAGTCGCGTGCTTTTTGTTTTGCTATGACTTACTCCAGGGATGCAGAGAGCGTAAGTGAGCGTAACCCCGGAATAACAAGGATGCCCTTGAATATATGTCATAGCGAAATCGGAGGATCAGTGTGCAACACATTGTAGACGAGACAGGAAGACTAATTCGATCCGTTGATGTACATTAATAGAATCTCGTAGTCGCCTAACGGTAAAATTGATTGCTTTGAAGTCGGGTAAACTTCCTCTGTAATTTTCAAAGAACAGGTATCAGTCTAGCGACTCGTCAGTTGTTTCTTTTACCCGAGACCAATCAAATAGATCACCGTATGCCTTCAATTTTGCTATGACATGAGCCCAACCCCTGGAGTGACGAGGATTGTCTTCAAAATGTTGTAGTGCGGTTGTACCAGCATTACATGTATTATTCTTGCCCAAACCAACACCTTGGAGTAATGGACATTTGCCTAGATCACCCGATCCTCAATACTCCAGGTGTCCTGGAGTATGTCATAGCAAAAATGAAAGCACAAGTACATCTGTTTGATAGGCCTCGGGTAAGAAGTACATGTCCATTGAAGATGACAAAGGAGCGACACCCGACTTCAAACTCAGTCAATTTGTACCACAGGAACAAGGTGGCGTACACTGAGCCTTCAATTTTGCTATGACATATTCCAGGGGTGCAGTGAGCGAAAGTGAGCGTAACTCCTGGACCATCGGGAATGAGATCACCCAGAAGCCGGCGTACACATACAATCATACTCGTAAAAGTACAGTAGCATGTCAATGGACTCAAATAACACTGCATGAATCATGGTGATGGTCATTCAAAATATCGTTGGGAATATAAAATGGCAAATACTGTTAGCACGAATCTACACATTTTGTTTTATTCTTCAGATAATTTTATTATGAGGAAAAACCACTTCTTTAACAACAAGGAAATGTTTGAAACATTCCTTAGCCGTTGTGGTGATATACTCCCTTGTTTGCGTGTTATCATCCGTATTTTGACCATATATTCTAAATGACCATCTTACGTTAAGTATGAATTAGACATCTACATATATCCTTCTGGATATAGCATGACCTTTTCATCAGACATCTGGAATTCTTTACAGTCTCTGCTCGGTATATACTATACTATTCTATATCATTGTTACGACATATACACGATTTTCAATATTTAACTAAACACTGCAAAAAGTAAACACTGCACCAAACTGCTTGATATTAAAAACCTGATAAATAACAATACATATTACTATTGTGATGATACAAAAAATCAGCAAAGCTAATATAAATTTGTTTTTGGATGATATTTAATTATAAAAGAAGTACATAACACTTACGGGTCGTTGCTCCTTTTACATTGGTCGATATTGTACAACACCTGATAAATGACAAATATAAGCTGCGATTGAATCGCAAGTGCACATTGCTCGAAAAGTTTTCAGTTACAGTAGTATATTCAGTACATTTCTAACCATTTGATGTCGTCAGTGTTGAGTACCGCCTTACGTACAACTGGTCACAAATGTGAGTACCGCCTTACGTACAACTGTTCCCAAATGTGAGTACCGCCTAACGTACAACTGGTCCCAAATGTTGAGTACCGCCTAACGCCTTAGCTCATGGTCAGACATGTACCACTTAACGTACAAAATATAATACTTGTCACTTCTGTCAAGTACCACCTAAAATGAATACCTGTATACGAATATACTTTAGTTGGTAGTGTTCTCAAAACTTTTTCATAATGTCATCTTTGTAGCCTTTTTCATCATATTTCTTTAAGACGTCATAAATAATATTCAAAAGTCTTGATGATCCTTGGAAATTGGATGTAAAATGCAATAAAGTTGATTGATTGATTGATGATTACAGGGTCCTAGGAATGATAGGGCTTGTGCACATGATACATGAAAGATACACGTAGGTGTTTATATCACCGTAAGTAGTCACACATTTTACGTACTATAAACTAGCAGTGTCTACCTGCGCACATGAGCCATACTCACTTTTTGTTTTATAAAAATCTGGTATCTGACATCAGAACTTGATGGGAAATGACTAAGTACTGGAAGAGTATCACATGGGCCTGTATCATCCAGCTATAACTGTATTATACAGTAAAGTACTACCTTCTTGTAACAAAATACTCTAATCACACGGGCCTGTATCATCCAGCTATAGCTGTATTATACAGTAAAGTACTACCTTCTTGTAACAAAATACTCTAATCACACGGGCCTGTATCATCCAGCTATAACTGTATTATACAGTAAAGTACTACCTTCTTGTAACAAAATACTCTAATCACACGGGCCTGTATCATCCAGCTATAGCTGTATTATACAGTAAAGTACTACCTTCTTGTAACAAAATACTCTAATCACACGGGCCTGTATCATCCAGCTATAACTGTATTATACAGTAAAGTACTTCCTTCTTGTAACAAAATACATGAGACTATGCTTTGTGTTGTATTACTATGAATTCTTTGATGTTAGTGAAAAAGAGAAAACATACCTTGCACATTTTACCTCACAAGTTAAAGAATTTTTGTTGAATGTAATGTAATATCTTTTAAATGGTGTTCACTTGTAATAGAATTGCCTTAATTTCCGCATGTCTTTTTTATATTAAATTGTATAGAGAGTGTCCCCCTATTGGTCATAATCCTATTGCTTGTGTAAGATATACGAAAATATTGTCTTTATTAAAAAGTTAGGGGAGATTTGTCGTCGTCAAAGCGTGCGCTTCTACAAAATGACTTTGATATACGATCATGCATATAACGATTGCAGTGGGGCTTTGTCTCGTTGCCGTTGGATTGAATGTCAGGTTAGCTATGTATAAAAGAGCCACGAGTCTGAGGTAGATAGGCATGTTAGGACAGGTGGTATATTTTAGGACAGGTGGTATATTTTAGGACAGGTGGTATATTTTAAAAAAGTTGTAAAGGATATCAGTAACAACTAGAAAACTTGGTATAAATCACAGCGTCTTGAATTAAAAAAATAAATATATGATTATCGTCTTAGCCGATGTTCTTTTATTCTTTATTCTTATCCCATATATTCGAGTTAATTCAAGTGCCTGTGATATACTTGACTAGTTTTAGTCCAAATTCTATGCAAACCAGAAATACATGTATGCTATTGTAATAGATCTTGGACACATGTAACATATTTTCCTGAATTACAACACGTTTTGAGAGTTTGCGTTTTTCTCCGGTCTATATAATTATCTTCTCTCTTCTACACAAATAAATGGATTTCTCGCAGGTCTTGGATCACAGGTACTAGCATCGTCTGTCAATACACCTATAATATAATCCTTGATTATACTAATACCTGTTCTTGGATCACTCATGCCTACAGATACGTTCAAACTTGACTTAGAGTTAAAACTACCCGAATACCATAAATAATATATTCTTTTCATCAAACGTTATATAAATAATAATAAAAAACAATCATTACAAAACATATACATGCATGTTGTGTTACAGGTTTAAATATGACCACACAGTGAGGTGTGTTTCTTGCGTCATTACGGTGTTACGTATGTAGGATGGATAAAATGACATACAGAGCTATCTCGATATAATGCCATTTGTTTGATATGTAACTTCACCTATCGACAACGTGTTTCAAGGTTTCAATACCTCCTTCTACTTAAAATTATTTTATATATCTTCCATGACATGTACCACAAAACTACTTGATAACGCCAATATTTCGCGATAGTTAAGTTTGGTGACAGTATAACGAGGTTTTACTGTATATTTAACTGAAAGCTAGGTCAAATGAAGCTGTCATCAAAAGTAGTGGCCGGTTCCGCGTGATTCGATTCTACTACTGCATACATCTTATTTTTCCCGAAGTAAGGCTGATATTAAAACAGAACACCCATTCTGGTTAACTTTTAGTTTTACATCATACTAAGGATATAGCAAAACCTCGTTGAAACTCCTCTTTATTTTTTCTCTCAATTATTACAAGACTTACCGCTGACATGTTTTTTAAGACCACTTGTTTTGATTTTCTGTTTGCAATCACACCAAACGTCAAGTGACAAATGGTGATACAATGATCTTTGTTGTAGACATAAACCAATTTCCTAATCAATCTTATTTTCCTTAACTTTCTTACCTACGTTACTTGAGTAAGAATTATATTTGCCCAGCAGTGTGTCCATGTAAGTAAAGAATGGCTGGTAATGTGTGGTGCCTTTGAAATGATGAGCCATGTGAGCGGCGGGTCCACCCATCAAATTAAACGGAACTATCCGATGTATTCCGAACGGAAGATCATATCCAGTATGATTGTCCACTAAGAGGAAAATAAACACTGGTACGAACAGCATTCTTGTGATGGGATGGCTTCCCATGAATCTTAGCGCGTAGTTTGCCGACAAAATTAGAACTATCCGTTCTGGGACGGTCAGCAAGTTAGTCACGCGGCCGTGCATGACGTCATGTTTGTGATGCAGCGCGTGTACAGTCTTGTACAGCCATGCGTTTTTGTGAAACAACAGATGGAAACAAAAGAACATAAAGTCAAACAACAAGACACTTGAGATAAGTTGAAAACCCACTTGTCCAACGGTAGGTGGCGCAATCGGAAGTGGACGTGTCGTCTGGATGAAACTCAGCCGCTTTTGCGCCATGACGGACGGATGTACTCCCACGTACTTCTTAATTGTGAACGTGTCTAATAGCATTAAAGGGGTCAGATATGTAACGGCCTCCATTAACAAGTCCTTCCCAGTAGTGTGTACATATGTCACGGAAGGGTGCACCTTGTACCTATCAAAATACGGAATGTAATGTAAGGCGAATGGATATATCGGTATCACTATTGCATAGGTCAACGTTGCATGCCAAGACTCAAAGTACACTGAGTTGAAAACCCACGAAGTCAGCAGGTCACTCCAGGTACTGTCAATCCATTTTTGAATTGTGTCGGAATTCTGTTTTAAAACAATGACCACAAGTAAAATTACAGCCCTCATGATCCATGGAACGCAGCGGTCCCATCCCTCCAATGGCCTCGTCTTCACTTCCGCCATCGACTCCCTGCTGGCAAGTTCCTTCTTCTCCATTATCTGTGAAGGTACAAACAGACGGACAGGGTTACTCTTTAAAAGGACTTAAACTTGGACCAACATGGTGTGCAAAATTATCATTCGATATTGTTTTCGTATAAAAAAGTAAACATTTCTTCTGTTATCTAAACTAGACAAGTTGTTGAAATGTTGAAATGAGAACATGACGACTATTCAGATTTCATATTGACCAAAATTATTAAAATAAAACCATTTCCTAAGAGAATTGAAAGAAATATTTGTACGACGTTTGGTTTAAATTGTTCAACCAATCAGCAATTCTGAATTGAGTATCAACCCGAAATAACAGCACCATTTCAAGATAGCTCGAGTTTCCTCTGGCCCTGACACCAGACATCTGGTGTTATGTCTGGTGTTAGGGCCAGAGGAAAGAGCATAACCAAAATCAAGACTGTCTGGCTTGGGAAAAGCCGAGAACAAGTTGTGGTCTCGGTCAATCAGAGACCAGGAAACCATCTTTGATTTCAATCATGAGATGATATTTGTTTACCAATTTTTCGTTACATCCCCTACTCGGCCACGCCCCTCTATTGTCAAGGAGAGCTACGCCATTCCATCTCAAACTCTCCGTTATGTGAACTAAGATGTAGTCTTTTAAAGAGTTACGCCGAACTTAACCCATTCCGTGGACCCCGTAGCCAAAAGAGGAGCACGTCCTTTATTTGCACCACTTTGGATTCACCTTGCCCAAGGAGATCCATGCCAGATGCAGTATACATAAGGAACATTCAGTAGAGGTATATAAATCTTACTTCAACACCACAAGGTCAATGAACGCTGGGTCAAGACACAACCTGTTCGTGGGTAGAAAAACCCCACAGGGTCCTGATAATTTGTAACAGCTATATTTGGATTTAAACTAAGGTATTCAGAATAATTTTACATGTTTTAGGGTTTTATATCGACTTTCGGTAAAAATGCATTTATAACGATTAGGTGTGGCATTTTTACCGAAGGTCGATCTTAACCCCTAAAATATGTCAAATTACTCAGAACACCTTAATATAGTCCCCAATACAGCTGTAACAAATTCTCATGTCCCTGTGGCTAAAATCAGTTTATTTTTCAAGGTGTTCCATTACCACCGGATTATTATTATGGGCGAAGTAAGATCATCTCAACGTCTTTTATCTTTTGCTGCAAATTGTAACACTAAAAATAAAGGGTTGATTTGCTGTGAAGAGATACCGTGTCTGTTGTATTGAATATAATATGCGCTAGCTCCCCAAACAGAAATCCATAAATACCACACAGTTGTATGACCTTTTAAACTATGTTTTTATCATACGGTAAGGTACACAGGGCATTTGATCACTTAGGGACAAAAAGGACGATACTAGAAATCACCGGAAACACCGAATCCTGTTAAAATCAATATGTGTCGTACATAGCACAGTCATTACCATATTAGTTTCATCGACATACCTCTTGATTATTGGATGTGCGCGGGTCCGTTCATTTTTCCTCAATACTCTGCCATCACAACCAACGGATGTAGGGTCCTTAGTGGTTTCTTACATCAACCTGAAGAGATGATAATAGATGAAAAAAATATCTCTATGACGCATTTCTAACATGTATCGTTATCCCAACAGGTTCCTTCCACAAAGTAGTGATCTAATCAGCCGAATCATTAGTGACTGTATAGTGCGATGACAGGTGACGAACTATGTGTGAACTACATCTACGCTGACGATACACACAATAGGTGTCATTCGTGTCAGTTAACACGGAGAAAAGATATACCAACAAGGATGGCTTACAGACATTCACAGGGACCCTACACTTCAGGGTTGATAGTCATAGGGGCAGTTGTAAATTTGTCTACCACAGGGACATGAACATTTCTCACAGTAAGACCTATTCTGATGTTAAAGGTTTAAATCAACACTTGGGAAAATTCCCATCCCCAATGAAGGCATTCACTAGTATATATACTATCGGTTGGGGTGGGGGTATGAGTGGGAGCGGCTAGAGGTACCACAAATATGTCTAAACTTACAATTTATTGGTAGTAACATATCCTCATGTCCCAGTGATTCCCATCAGGATAGGTCCAAAATTACCTACTAACTACATACATGTATACTCATGTCCCTGTGATTTCATCAGAATATGTTCACATATACCTACTAGTTACATATCCCTATGTCCCTGTGATTCCATTAGGATAGGTCCAAACAAACCTACTAGTTACATGTCCCTGTGACTCCATCAGGATAGGTCCAAACAAACCTATTAGTTTCGTGTCCCTTTTACTCCATCAGGATAGGTCCAAACAAACCTACTAGTTTCATGTCCCTGTGACTCCATCAGGATAGGTCCAAACTTACCTACTAGTTACATGTCCCTGTGACTCCATCAGGATAGGTACAAACTTGCATACTAGTTACATATTCTCGTGTCCCTGTGATTCCCTCGACAAATAAATAACTGGATAAGTAATCGCATTAGCAATTGGTTTTTAGGAATGAAGTTCAATTGAAGTATATTGAACATCGTTTCAATATGACAGTAAGCCATCCCCCGCCTCCTATTGACCATAACAAAGTATGGCTCACATATTAAGGCCTTTAAATGCGAAAAGCGTGAAATGGACAAACGCAGATCTCGTACCTGTTTATTACCTGGCCTCGTCAGATTTTCCAATGATCTTTTTTGAGTATATACGTAAATACGAATATTTTTGAAAAGTCTGTATATTTGTGTTATCTAAAAGTGATGAGTTTGAATCCAAGGAAACTTGTATATTTCTGTTTTTGATTTTAATGATTTTTTTGTAACGTTGTTTTATATTAATGAAGATTGAAACAGCTTAGTCCTGGGACAAATATTGTAAAGACATAACCTTTTCTAATACTTGAAATTGAAAAGAAAACATGTCAGTTTTGCGGATCGCATCAAAAAGGTAACACTAAATCACTTGTCTTTCTGCCTTTAAGAAAATGAGTTAAGAAAAGGAAAACAGTTTCTACGTATCGCACGGTTAATTAATACAGGCGGAGCCAGCTTTCGCAATACCATCCAGTGCCGCATCCAATAAAATTGACTTTAAAACTCTGTGTTTGTGTCTATGCTAAGCGTTTAAAGAGTGTGAATGATTATTAGTCATTGCAGTTAAACTGCTTGTAGCTATCAGTCTGTTGCTGGTCAATAACTCCAAGATACAAGATAACAATTATCATGATAGGGAAAAAAAGAAACGCAAGCGAAAAGCATAATTGTTTCTATGGTAACGCGTACGTCGGAACGCGTCACACAACGTTCAAGCACTCACTTCAGTCACCTTTTCTGCGTTCGTGACTCATATAAAGACAAGTTCTTGTGATAGCACATTACGGATCATTGCTCGCTCCACCAGATCAGATCAAGGATCAATACCCCTACATTATTGTAGGTAAGTATATTACCCTTAGAAAGCCTGCATGTGAAATTGTGAACAAACTTCACTGCGCAAGCGCGGATTCCTCGCTTCAGACGAACGATTTTTATCTTGATGTCACGTGCACGAAGTAAGTGCCTGTGGATACATATAGCATGGCCTATATATTTATGTGTGTAATGGTACGAGGTTCGCCCTTAACTTTTTTCACAGCTTCTAATTAAACAGGAAGCGTAGACAGTGATTTTAGAGTGAACGTGGTGTCGTTTAAAGTCTCTTCTCTTAGATAATTTACTTTATTTTACCAAACTCATGGTTTATGTAAGTGACATTTTGCCTATATACCAGGCACAAACTCCTGAAGAAAAGGGGTAGAAGTTCACTGATAGGGTCATAATATAAATCCAGTAGCATGCGAATTACCGTTGAGTTGTTCAAAAGATGGACAACTGATAACTCACATCTATAGGGATATAACGGATATAACTACCATAGCGATATATCGACATTCTTGATGTTTGTTATGTACATGAATCTACCAACTGAAAACAACTGCCATTAGACTATGAATACACTTTAAATACAACGATTCTCGTGCAACCTGTCAGATGATTTCACACACTGACCACTTCATATTACTACGCATAGTACCGTTTCTTAGAATAGTTATCTCCCCTTCTCCGAGATAACGTAGTTGCGAGAAATAATAATAAAAAATACATGAATGGTGCACCATTGTACTATTATTAAAATTTAAAAAAATGCTTATAACATTTTCATATTAAGTGCTGACTTCCGACTCGCAATCGGTTCCTCGTGGTCACTAGCTTTCTAACACCTAAACGTCCGGCTGGGTAATCCCCATGACATCAACTTGCACATTAAACTCAGGAACTTTTGTAATGACACAGGGTACTTCATCCACCAACTATTTCCACCGATCGGAATGTCATGAACATTGTAAATAAGTTGTCTGAAAAAGTTCGGCTATTAATTTTGTAAACTAGTCCATAACTCCCATAAAATAATTCCCGGTGCACAAATTCGGATTGTGGTGACAACATCAATGATGCTACATGAGGTTTAAATGATATTTGACTCAGAATTGTGTAAATTGGCTTCTACCCAACGAAAAAAAGCTGGGTCGACAATATCAGCGCCGGTACACAGTTTCAGAGCGATGTGACTACATCAGTGAGATAATGGTACTAGAATTCGGATGAGAACTGCTGAAAGAGTTATCTTAACAAGGTTCCATCTACAGACGGCTGCGACAGACGGACGGACGGACGGACGGACGGACGTGGCGACATGTTGCTGCGACAGACGGACGAGCGGACGTGGCGACATGTTGCTGCGACTTTAGTTTAAATCGAGAGTTCAGGATATCTGCCCCACTACACGCAAAAAAGAAAATGTCACTGTAGATTTTGCATACATTCATTAACCTGTCTTTTTTTTTTTGTTGAAATATCTGAAGTAGGACTGTGCAGGAAATAACAGGAAGCACAAATGGGTAGATCAACCGATTTAGATCGCAGGTTCCGGGTTCAAATCCCGGTCGATACTTGTACCATGTTTACTCTCTTATCTTTTCTATCATTTTTTGGTTATTTTTCATAAAAACAGTTTCGCAAGGTATTTGATTTCTTTTCGGAAAGGATTATTTATATTATTGCCTTGTCAGTAAAAAATGTTTCCAATTCATATTGACATTTTTTGACGTTCCACGTTCCTCCTAACATATATATACAGGGGATTAACAGACAGGATCACACTATTTAAACATCATGTTTACCCCTTTACCTGAACAATATTGATTTTACATGAATGCACCTGTACATAGCTACATTATATTTATTTTTAATACAGCTTACAGCTGTCTGACACAGTGTATTTATATACTAGATACTATACACTGTTTAACACTCCCGAGTACACACCTACTCGTATATAACTTTATGATAGACGGGCAGCAGATGGTCAGGTGTGATACGTTCCTCAAACGGACACTTCAACATGGAATAACTACTTCCGGTGTTGATTTCCTAAAACAGCAGACTTTTGATACCAATTCAGTGAATTGTATATACCAATTACGCAACAGAGTAGGCCTAAAACAACGGACCTATGACACGCATTAAAATAAAATTAACACTACTTTCGGTACAGAAGTCCCGATGCAGAAGACTGCTATCAATGTATTTTGTATATTACTTCCGGTACAGACGTCCTACGCAATGAATTTCCGACACGCACTAAACTGTACAGTAAATGCAGAAGACTTTGTACAAAAACAAACAGACATGTATGGTAAACACTACTTCTGGTACAAACGACCTTACACAGTAAACGTTTGACACACACTAACATACATTTATAACATACACTGCCTTAAGGTACAAACCACTTATCCAACATGCAAGTTTTATAACATGCATTTTACCACAACCATTTAACAGCTTTATAACACATGTGTTAACCACTTATGCAATCCATAGCCAATCTAACGCATACAGTTTACCATAAATACAACTTAACAGCTGTATAACATGTAACTTACACAAATTAGAATTTATCTTACCAGCCTGATGGCCACAAATACAACTTTAAAACAGATATGGTGACTGCGCGCAGTGTGATGTAGGGCTTTTAATGTTTCAGTCATTATAAGCATGTCATCTGTTACAAAAACTTGTTTTTTATCCTTCAATTTCAATTTTCAGTATCTTTTTTACTTCAGCTGTTAAGGGGACTTCATGCATCTCAATTGTACGCTTCCTCTACGCAGGTCGTGCCGCTATATATATATATATATATATATATATATGTATATGGCCCTGTATGTAATACAAGTGTTATTTGCATAGTCACAACGATAATCAGTTTTAGGTAGCCCCTATAACCAGTCAGACATGCATGCTATCACCATACATGCCAATTCGTGTGTTGTGAGTATCGCCTGTTTAGATCAAAAATAAAAACATCTGCTCGAGTTACAATCCTATTATTTGGTTTGTTTGTTTGTTTGTTTTGCTCGGGTTTAACGTGCTCACAACAGCCAACGTCATTTGAAGTGTGCTTATAGAGACAGCGTTACAATGAACGAGTAGGCACCTATATAGTTAAGTGAGAAAAGGTGAGAAACACATCCCGCGTGTTGCATTGGGAGCAGCAGATCGATTTTGTCTCTTTATGGTCCCCTAATAAGCAGAAGGAATAATAGAACCCAAACTCTATCCCTTCTCTTTATTCTTCAAGGAGACCCACACCAGCCGCCTCTAACGATATGCACTTGGATATAGAAGGCCTCTAATTTCCCCTAACCTGCAGGGGTGAAATTCCTATTATTGGCATCTTTCACAATTGTATGTGCTTTTACCAAATTTCGAAATACAAATACATTTTTCGGAATGAGTGTCAATATTAAACGATGTGAAATTTAAAGTATACAGACAGGTCTCGTAAATAAGCATGGTTTTCAAGGTTCTTATTGGTAGCAGTTAATGGGTTGTCGGGTGGTGCAGTGGATAGCGCACTTGCCTGTCACAAAAACGGCCGGGGTTCTATTCCCCGACCGAAGTAAGGGGGTCACAACGTGAGGTTTTTTCCGGGTACTCCGAATATTTTTTACCTTATGACTACTTTCTGGAAACTGACTTAATTAAGAGTTCTCTTACGATAATCGTAACTCAAGAGTAATCATATACGTTGATATAACAGTTAAATTGTTGTAAAATATATTAAGTTAATATTTCGTATACAAAGTTTTTAATACATTCATATGCAGGCACATGGCTATCACATTGTACCAGACCAATGGCCATGGAGATGTTCTGGTTACTTTGTATTTATATAAGTATATAGTTAAGAAATAAACTGCTTTCATTTGTTCATGTCGGTCAATATGAATGCAAAATGGAAATGAAAAATTCTATGAAGCGCGCTATTAATCAATTCAAAATGTCTGAAATGATGAAATACCGGGTACAAAAAAAAATGTGTGTAGATATATATAGCTAACGAATATTGATATTGTATGTGTACAATTATGGACACACGAAGCACCAATTTTGCATTCCAACTGGGAAAAATGTCACTGGGTTAACAGACAGTGGCGGATCTAGGTTTTTTGAAAGGACAGAACACGCGCTTCACAGCTGCCGTAACCTTCCAACCGAGGTCTAAGTGTGTCTATGGAAACAAAAGGGCGGTTCAAAACCGCTGATTTCACTGGGACTAGTTGGAATCATCATAATTATGACGTCATGAAACCTAGTGATGCAACGTTAGACTTTTCCGCCACTGTCTCGACTTTCCATGTGTTATAGGGCTGAACCCGCTGAAATAACCTAGGCCGACACCTGCCGATAGTGGATATTTCCATCAAATCGTGTAGTAACACGATACAAAAGTCGATGCAATGCTTATTTACATATTACAGTCATGTGAAACATCTAAAACTAGCAGTCCTTATTTGAACTTACCTGTTATAGGAGGCTAAGCCAAATACATCTAAAACTAACCGTCCTGAATTGACCTTACCTGTTATATTATAGGACGCTAAGCCAAATACCTCTGAAACTAACCGTCCTTAATTGACCTTACCTGTTATATTATAGGACGCTAAGCCAAATACCTCTGAAACTAACCGTCCTTAATCGACCTAACCGGTTATATTATAGGACGCTAAGCCAAATACCTCTGAAACTAACCGTCCTTAATTCACCTTAGCTGTTATATTATAGGACGCTAAGCCAAACCCCTCTGAAACTAACCGTCCTTAATTGACCTAACCGGTTATATTATAGGACGCTAAGCCAAATCCCTCTGAAACTAACCGTCCTTAATCGACCTTACCTGTTATATTATAGGACGCTAAGCCAAATTCCTCTGAAACCAACCGGCCTTAATTGGCCTTTCCTGTTATATTATAGGACGCTAAGCCAAATACCGCTGAAACTAACCGTCCTTAATTGACCTTAGCTGTTATATTATAGGACGCTTAGCCAAATACCTCTGAAACTAACCGTCCTTAATTGACCTTAGCTGTTATATTATAGGACGCTAAGCCAAACACCTCTGAAACTAACCGTCCTTAATTGACCTTACCTGTTATATTATAGGACGCTAAGCCAACTACCTCTGAAACTAACCGTCCTTAATTCACCTTAGCTGTTATATTATAGGACGCTAAGCCAACTACCTCTGAAACTAACCGTCCTTAATTGCCCTTACCTGTTATATTATAGGACGCTAAGCCAAAAACCTCTGAAACTAACCGTCCTTAATTGCCCTTACCTGTTATATTATAGGACGCTAAGCCAAATACCTCTGAAACTAACCGTCCTTAATTGACCTTAGCTAAGCTTATACTGTCCTTGATTTACCCTTGCTGTTCTATGACGTTTCTGAACTTGACGAGAAATCCGGTTTATCTGACCATTCACTGGCGTTTTGTGCAAAATTTCACTTTTCTGTTGCTTACAAGCGACAACCGACAGTAGAATGAATTATACATGCACGAACCTACTGTATCTCCCTTGTGTGCATGGCAGCTGCCACAACATAATTACACGATATCAGAGTATGATCGAAATATCCTATACAAATATGCTAACCATGTGATACGTTACCTTTTATGATACTTCGGTGGTAATTGACGCGAACAGTACACACAAGTACACAACACAGTCAAAGCAGGTATCTGTGCGTCACTGTACCTGGTATTTAATTTACACAGAAGCGACAGACGTGACAATGCCATGTTGTCATCACCATGCATATAATACAACAGAGACACAGTATATCACATACAGTTCTTATAATAGTCAAATTTATATAAAAGACCGTGCATGGACACAAGCGACGGGTGTTTAAATCCTTCGTTATATATATATATATATATAGAATAAAAACAAATTTTTCAGATCGTCCGCTAGGCCTTTCTATATATATATATATATATATATATATGTGTGTGCTAATTGGAATGGTTCAGCATACATAGCGCAATGTGAAGCACAGTGATTATGAGGTTTATATTACACCTGTCTACAGGTAACATAGTACATGTACCCGGTTATGCAAGCCGACATCAAGAACTTAGTACGTATACACGCTTACCTGATGGGGAGATCAACCGCTATAATCCAGCTCATGTCATGAGTATCATCTACCCGGCTCTGGATCGACTTTGTAAAAATATTGTCAACTCATGAGCCCCGCCCTCTGACACTAAATGAGTGGAGTATATATATATATATATATATATGCTGTATAATTCATGCATATAAACACGTGTGTTAGTACACGCCTTTCTTACATGTGCATAATAAGCTACGCAGGTACAATCGTACGTAGCAGGTACAACCGTACGTAGCTCAACACGTTCGGTAAACATGTACTCTTTCACTCGCCTGTTTTTAGCCACTTCCGGGTAACACATACAGTAACCCGGCGATAGCAACCCGGTACTAAACCAAGCGAAACGTGACTCGGGTGGGACACAGGATCATGTTGAACTGGGAGTGTGCTGAAATGCTAGACTACTTTATTATTGAAGAAGTATGTAAAGCAGATCGCCTCGGTCTGATGGCAAATCGATCATATCGATGTGCTAATTGGAATGGTTCAGCATACATAGCGCAATGTGAAGCACAGCGACTATATCTTTTACATGTTTTAGAGGTTTCAAATCTTTAATCATTGGGGGTGCACACTGACATTAAATGGAGTGATTATTCATTCAAGTACAAACATTTCTTCGAAATATTCCAGAATTGAAGAAGTGTTGAAATATTTTATAGTTTTATGACGAGTTAAATTCAACATTTAATATTAATGGAAAGATCATTATACACTTTATGGTTTGAATAACATAGGTATGTTTAATGATAAAATTCGTATAGGCACCTTATATGTACATTTACCAAGTTTCAGTAAAAAATATATAGTAACCGATGCTGTATTTCATATACATGTATACTCAGTTCTTTAGAGTCAATCTACGTGACAGCTAGTTACAATACCTGCCCGCCAAATACCCGAATCTTCACGATGTTTACAAACATGTACAGATGTATATGCAGATACGTATATACCCACATATCCCAAGCGGTTTTCGATATTCAATATCTATTTCTAAATTACGGTTTTTTTTTGAAACGTTTACTCTCCAGTTACTTATATGTCGTTTCAGTTCTGTTGTATCTCATAGATAAATATTGACAAGCAAGCTCGTCGTTTGTGCCTTGTGCCACAGGGACCAGGGAATTTGTTACAAATATATTTGGACCTTAACTAAGGTGTTCATAGTAATTTTACATGTTTTAGAGGTTTCATATCTTTAATCATTAGGGGTGTCATTTTTACCGGAAGTCGATCTTAACCCCTAAAACATGTTCGTACTATGAACATCTTAGTTAGATCCAAATATAGATATTTTAAATTATCAGGCCCCTGTTCCTTGTGATATATATTATTTCTCGGACGCGGCGTAACAGTAGATTTCAAGACATTTATTCCGCATAAGGGGAGACGGTGTCTTAACATCAGGGACAAATACAAACAGGAGACATTTGCGATAAAAATAGATGTTAAGTTTCCCTTGGTTAAACATTCTTATGGGTGACGTCCAGCATTTTCTATAAAATTGATTAAATCGCCCATCAAAAAGAAACTGGCTTTTCAATAAAAGAAAAGCAGGACGCCATCTGTAGCAGTTGACCTTTCAGTTCAGTTAAATCTCATGTAAAATATTGACAATAAGAATAAACAAGCAAATAAAGAAATATGAAAATATAAACATACCTTGATACGATCTGAATGCAGTGTTAACTACACAGACATGTATTTCACGACAAAAGAATCCATAGAAATATCTACGAGTAATCATTCAAACACACAAATCACTACTACTGTTATATGATCAGCTATTGTGGACACATGTGTATATGTTACATGTGTATTATTGTATGTGTTACACGTGGGTGATCCGCGCTCTATACTTCCGGTTTTCCTTTATTCGTCTTCCTCAAGTACATAGCATCCCATGCCTATAAATCCATATTGAGTAAAATACACTGTAAGTTCGTATTTAAGTCAAATAATCACAAGAAATATGAAGAAAGGAAACATACCAAAAAAATGCTACAGAAAGTGTTTTTTTTAACATACCACACCATTTCGTCCATTGAGGACTCATAAGTGGTACTACAGGCAACAAATCAATACATATATCAGTGTCTAATGTGTTCAAAATATCTAGAAAATAGTTAAAAGGAGGGTACCTATTATAGAACCCTGTTTAACGTTACAAAAACACAATAACTTTGAAGCTCAAGTTACATATTTCCTTTGGTATTAATTGACTGTTTATCAACTGCTTAATTGCCGATATGTTGATCGATCTGGAAAGTAACACTGTATCTGGTTCAATATCAAACACTTTTTGGTTTGAAGTTCAAAATAATTGTATTATAGTTGCAGAGGAAATACTCACTATACATGTGTATACATGTGTATACGTGTGTATACATGCTTATTGCCTCTAATACTGGATTTCCGGAACGACCAACCCCCTTCCGGCCGAAGATGACATGCAGCCTTCACTACTACCTCCGCCCTCACACTGGACTGACGTAAGATCTTTAGTAAATAGGAAAACAATGTCATACAGATTATCACATCATTTCAGATATAAAGAGATAAAAAGACGGTTAATGTCAGCTACACAGGTATAAAACGTTAACCGTCGGATTGTTTTTTTTCTTTCAATAAACGTCCAAACGTATTTCCTTTGCAAGTGCAGGATCATCAAAACGAGATTCCCAAATCAAAAAAATGGAAAGTTGTGAGACGCCAAAGAGGAGTAATTTAAAATGCAACAGTCTACACTGTTGCCGGCGCTCTTTGTGTTCCCTTTAATTCCGACACTGCGCTGTTTCGAGATGATTTTTCTTCTATCACTATTTATTTAAGGTGACATGAGCTCTTAAATGATCAGTGTATATAGCGCATTCTGGTTTCAGAGACCCAGACCAATATTGGTACAACGAGATATATATGGTAATGAATGGCATTATGATCAAATGCTTATATATATATATATATATGTTCACTATATTCTCCTCTGTTGTGAGACTGACTAGCCGTCGGTTGGTAATCTGGGCATTGAGAAAATGCCCAATAAAGTAGGTCTCTGTCCACTGTACATAACAAAAGTCGACAGTCACTCGGTGTAGTAAACCACTGCGTCACCTTAGGGAACTCGTCATGTGCATACACTTTATAGAAAACGACCTAGAATCAAAACTGTCCTTGTTCAACCAGTTAGAAATCCAGATGTTCTGTCATCCATGCCATTTGTTGTTTGACCTGCGGTCCTCTAATAGAACGCAGTTTTATGACAGATGCACAGCATTTGAAGAGTAAACAAAAATATCTTTAAAATATGAACGACAGAGTGTTCGAGCCTTTTACCCATCAACATGTACTTTGGTATTACTGATCTAAGGGAAGTAACTCGAGTTGCTATATAAGTACATATATCTCGTGCGTCTCAAATATTAAGGATCCCCGTCCCAGCCAGAGCAAAACACTAAAGAATTCCACTGTCGTTTTTCAGTGTTAGAGTCACCTTCCCCTGATTACCATTTCGACAATGTTGTTACCTTCCCTTGAATATATTTCGTTTGAATAACGCATAGAGATAGATTGTCGTCAAAGGCCGTTAATTGGACAAAAGTGTCTTCAGAGCAAAAGGTTGCTTATGCCGGCAAGGTAGCGCAGATGATCGGTAATACTACTAAACTCCGCGAGGCGAAGCATTTAGATGATCTCGACAGCTTAGTACAGATTATTGTTTCCGCGATAAAGGATTCAGCGAAAGTTACATTGCCAGTTAAGCAGTATCGTAAATACTTAAAACCATATTGGATCTTCGGAAGTGTTAAAGAACTGCATACGTCAATGAGGCAGTATCGTATAGTGTGGAAAGCTGAGGGACGTCCGCGCGGTACAGAAAATAAATCATACAAAGATTATAAGGATTCAAAAACCATCTTTCGTAAAGCATTAACAGAAGCAACTCGACTAGTCCGAATCATTCTGACATTTTATCGATTTTTTTTATATCGGTCGTCGATTAACGTCAGAACTCCGGCCCTCTTTGATATGCGGGAAATAAGCGACCCGCGCCTGGGTCGCCCTTCAAGCTGATATTTTAGAAACAAATCGTCACTTTCACACACATATCGCACATGGATCAAAACGTGACCTCGCGTGTACTGTGTGACGGCAAAATAAGCAAAGATTATCCAGTTAAGCAAGGGGTCGGTCAAGGGAGAACTTTATCAGCCTGGCTATTCCTCGTTATGAGAAACGGTCGCGCACGTGCTCTGGATGAAGCGGAACAGGGTTTAAAGATTCAAAAGCTACATATCCCCTGCGTATTGTTAGCTGATGACACGCTCTTATTAGTAAATGCGTATACTAATCTTTGGAGGCTAAATTATAACTCTGCTAAATCTTCGCTGAATGAATTTTCATATAAAAGACGAATCGTCAATAAACCATCAGCTGTATGTTCTCTGGGAGGCGCGATTATCGAATCGACTGGTACAAAGGTTTACGCGGGAATTACTTTTTGTTCAAACCTAAAAGCTGAAGCGCGTGCGACAACGGTAGAAGGAACCTTAACAGTCTAATGAGTGTTGGTATCCATCCAGGCGGATTGAATCCTCTCAAAAGTGTGCAACTCATTAAAGCAATTATCATACCAGGTGTTATATACGGATGTGAACTTTGGGCAAATGCTTCGAAGAAGTTCATTGATATGTTAAATACAACCATGCGGTATGCTGCACAAAGATGCCAGGGTTTTGAGAAAACTTCGTCGTCGGCCATAACTACCAGAGCCATTGACTTACCTGATGATTTATGGTCTGATGTAGAAATCAGAAAACTGTACATTTGGAACAAACCGTGTAATGCTAAATTATTTTTTTGTCTGGAAATCTCTATTTATTATTCGCTTATGTACATTCATGTTCACCTCACAATCAATTTAAAACGTAAGCTTCATCGTAGACATCTTCCATACAATGGTGAAATTTAACATCGAGACATTCTTTTTTGATTTTGTATTCTCAGGTGCGTGCTGTAGAGACTTTCGGTGGAAATCGTTTCTTAAGAAAGTCACAACAAACTGTGCTGTATGGTGTAAAATGTGCAGAAATCGTCCCGATCTGTTATATTATAGGGCAGTTCATCAATATATTGGACCCCACCCTTATGGTCTCTAACATTGAAATTTCCTAAAAGCACATGGAAAATTTGTGAATTAATCAAGCTTTTCTACAGGGCTGAATTCCAAAATGTGATGTGTAAATTGTGCAAAAAAGTTGCGAACAATGACGTTAAACATTTCA